GGCCAGGCAGGAGCCTCATCACCAGGTAACCTACTGGCTACCACTCAAAACACACCTGTGGCTTCAGAGAGTTCCAGGATTCTGGTTCTATAATGACAGGAAAGGGAAAGAGAAGACTAAGTACATATTCTCATGCCTGTGTAAACAGCAACAGAACATTCTGGAAGATCACAGTAGAAGACTTGGACAAATAGAAAGGGGTATAACATTCTTGGAAATAAACACTTGATACACAAATGTAGAATTTTCCCTTGAGTTGCTTTGTATCCTTAGAAAACCCACTGTTTTCTTCTTCCCTGGGACTAGACACATTAGCATCTGATGGTCATGCATGAATACTCAGGAAATATTGTTAGGTGGTTCACCTATGATATCAAATGTTAAAGCCAACACAAAGCCCGTGGACCTAAGCATGAGCCTGTGCTAAGCATGGACAGGAGACAGACCAAAGGCACAGTGTACTCAGCCTCAATGGCATCTGCAAATCAAAAGACAGTGAAAGTGCTGTCCCTGCAGACTGACTTCAGGCAGTAGTCTCCTCACTGTCCCAGAAGCTGGGAGTACACAATCAGAATGCAGCAATGCATATATACACACATGTATACATACATGCATGCGCACACACATGTACGTATGTATGTATTATGTATGTATGTATGATGTGTATATTACTGCAGTGTCCCCTGGTGTCAGAGGCAGAAGACCAAGACTTGTGCGCTCACATGGGGAGTGAAGAAGAGGCACGCTTTAATCTCTTTAATTCAAGCCTCTTTCACAACAGTGCAACCCCATCTCTGGAGCAACACCTGTCCCAGGGCTACATCCTTGTTCTGCACTGAGGATTAAGTTTCCAAGCCATGGACTTGAGGGCACATTAAGACCACGATGGTCTCTTACTCTGTTTGGACTGCCTATAACAACAGAGATTTAGTGTTCATCACTCTGGTTCTAAGTGAAAATGCTGGCAGCTGTAGTGAGTGATCAGTGCCATTTCATAGAAGGTACTTTCCCAATGTGTCCCTCTCACTAGGATGTCTTAGGCCACTTACCCCATTTAGGGAAGTCCTACCCCAGAGCTGCATCACCTCCCAATCACCCTACCTCCTAATCTTAGGGGGTTAAGATTTCAACATATTAATTTGGAGGACATGGGTGGTCAGGCCCCAGCAAGAGCATATCAAACAAAATGAAAAGCAGTACTGGAGATGGGGGGTGGGCATTTATCTACAGAGGATAAACCTGGGTCTATTGCCTTAGCCTGAGATGCCATGGGGGGTTCTAGACAAGACCACTTTAATAGCAGAGATTTATTTCTCACAGTTCTGTGGACTGGGAGTCTAGGGTCAAAGTTCCTGGCAGGGCTCAGTTCTTAGTAAGGGTGGCTTCCTGCATTGCAAACAGCCCACCTTTTATCAGCTCACATGACAGACAGGAGACAGGACCAATGCTCTCCCTTAGTCTGTTACAGGCTCTGACCCTTCATGCTTTGTTCAGATTCACCTTCCTCAAGAGGACCCCTTGTCTACCCTCAGTTTCTGGGAATGGAGCATCAATCTGGATTCGCAGGGCTTGGAGTCTTTAACCCATATTCTCCATACTAAGAGAAACTCCAAAAGGGTTGTAGATTTAAATATGTCAAGAGAGTGTGATGACACGGGCCTACAATTCCAGCAGCATTCTGGATGCTGAGGGGAAGATCAAGATTTCAAGGCCAGCCTAGGCTACATAGTAAGAGCCTGTCTCCAGCTGGAGAGGTGGCTCAGACTGCACACGCTGCTCTTCCAGGGGTCCTGAGTTCAATTCCCAGCAACCACATAGTAGCTCACAACCATTTGTCATGAGATCTGGTGTCCTCTTCTGTCCTGCAGGCATACATGCAGGCAGAACACTGTACACATAATAAGGAAATAAATCTTTAAAAAAAAGACCCTGTCTCAAAAAAAACATAGCCAAGCATGGTGGTACATACCTTTAATCCAAGCACTAGGGAGGAGGGTGGATCTCTGTGAGTTCAAGGCCAGCCTAGTCTACAGAGCTATTTCCAAGCTGTTACACAGATAAACCCTATCTTGAAACACACACACACACACACACACACACACACACACACACACAGAGAGAGAGAGAGAGAGAGAGAGGAGAGAGAGAGAATGACCCAAAAATTAAGCAAAGCAAATATAAGTAGAAAAAATAACTATAATTTACATTACAAAAGCTTGTATGTAAGTAAACTCTAAAACTAAGAAAAATGAAAATGGATAAGCAATAAGGAAAAAGTTTTCCGAAGACGTTATGATGTTCAAAGAGCTTTTGGCCTGTAAAAAGATTGTCAACCTCACTAATAATAGATAAATGCAAATCAAGCTTGCCCTCTAATACTGTTTCTCAACTCTGATGTTGGTGAGCAACCCAAACGTCATTGGGTCATTGGCAATGCTCTGGGGAAAGGGCCACCATCGTGCCGTGTGAAAGGCTCAGGCCCATGGGGGAACTGAGCAATGCCTTATAAGAATTGCACACGTTTATCCTTTACCCTAGCAGACCCATTTCCAGATACACTGGCAAACACACAAAGACAGATTGCAAAAGATATTAGTTGCAGCTTTTTTTGTAATGGCAAAATTGGAACCAATTCAAATATTCTTCAATGGTCAGCTGGGTAAACAGGGCCCTTTACACATAAGGACTATTATATGATTTTATAATGTAAGAAACTTCTCCACAGGCTACTGTGCAGTTATTTCTGGAATGTAGTATGGTGTGGTTTGGATATGGTTTAATGTTTCCTAAAGCTTTATGTGCTGAAATTTAAGCTCCAACATGAGGCACATACATCATGAGGGTAAAAACTTGATCTACTATGGTGTTTAGGGGTGAAGCCTGTGGGAGTGACTTGGAATTAGACAATGCCATTGAGCCCTGGGAGTGAATCCTAGTGGCTTAATTTAAAAAATGAGAGATAGTTGGACCTTTGTCTCCAATCTAGCATGAATGAATACTTGACTTCATCTCTACATGTAAATAGATGATGACAAACAGATGGTAGATAGATAAATGATAGATGTGTGTGCACACACATATGCATACATGCATTTCATCTCTCCCCCACATGGTTCTCTGCATCTTCTGGGCTTTGAGTGGTGAGAATGCCAGCACCAAAACTTGCTGTGTAGACCAGGCTGGTCTAGAATCTGCTTCTGCCCCCTGAGTACTAGAGTAATGGTGTGCACCACCATGCCTGGCTTTCCCATACTTTTTGAAACATATTTAAATAGTGAGCTGATTAAAGTTCATGCATAATGAGCAGGAAAAGATACTAGAATACAAGATGTGCATGTACTGGGGGGAAAGAGTAGGGTGGGGTACAAAAGCAGCCTTTTTGTTTTAGAATAGCATCAAGTTTGGAGAACTAGCTTAGAAATGATACAAAAACACCCTCGTAGATCTCTGTTCATGTCTCCATCTCTATGTCTATGTGGTTAATCTTGATTGCCAACCTGATGGGTTTTGGAATCATCCTGGAAACAAATGTCTGGGCATAGCCTCGAGAGAGTTTCTAGATTTGGTTAATTGAGGTGGAAAGACTCAGCCTAAATGTAGCCAGCACCATTCATTCCATGGGCAGAGGGGTTCTGGACTTTATGGCGGTGGATGCAACGTGGCCAGCTCCATCAAGTTCTTGTCACCATCATGATGACTGTACCCTCCACTGTGCGCCAAAAGGGAGAATCCCTTTCTTCTTTTCTTAAATTGGCTTCTCTCAGGTATTTTGTTCTAGAAACATATAAAGTGACCAATATACTCTCTCTAATTCTCTCTATATCACACACACAGGGGAAGAGAGGGGGGGAGAGGAGAGAGAAGCAATTTAAGAGAGTACAGTATATATTTTATCCCTAGTATCTCACTGTATTGTTTCCAAGAACAAAAAAACATTCTCTTTCGTAACAGTACAGTTTCAAACACATGAATGTTGGTACTTCGTGATCCACTTTCTAAATCCCAAGAATGTAACTATTCTCCCAAAACAAAACCATTGCCTTTAGCCTTAATACCACTTGGAGTAGTTTAATTTCCTAATTTATGGGTACCAGGACATGAACTCTTTAAAAATGTGGTATAACAGTTTGGGTTTTTCTAGTGTCTCTTTGTAAGTTGATGCAGACCCCACATCCCTGAGTGAAGAAAACAAAATACCATACCCATCTCATTATGGAGATGGAGACTCACTGTGGACACCTATAACCCACTAGCAATGACAACACTGACTCATGGTCAAAGTTGTACCCAGTTTCCCCAAACCTAGACCTAGAAACAACCTTTGAAGACCTTGTATGCATTGCCTGCTAGAACTGCAGAGGTGCTGGCAGATCTCCCATCCCAGCTCTCCAAATTCGGTGCTGTGTTTCATTTTTGGGAATCTGTGTTTTATGTCTTTAACATACAAAGGAGGCACCATATGAGATAGTGAGTCCAGGTCCCTAGTTCAACACAGGCTGTATCATAAAGCTCTGTCACCTTCAGGTTATCAGCTGACAGGTCCTAGAGTCAACATAATGGGAATCTAGAACATAATGGATTCTTTTTACTGCAAACAAAATAATGTTCACAGATTTCATGAATATAGTCAGTTACCATTTAAAAGAAATGATCCCTTCAGTTATGCATCTCCTAAGAGGGAACTCTCAGGAGTTGCTTTGTAGTCAGTTCTGGTATATGGCACTTCCTGAGCATATTAATGGGGCTCAGACAGCCCTGAAAGTTAGCCTCAGGGCATGTCCTGCATCCATGTGATTCTCTATCCCACAGCAAAACACAGGCTCACTTCTGTGTGCTCTCCAGTCCCTTGCCAGGGTTGCTGAGATCCAGTCAAATCGTGAACCTCAGTGAGAACTTCCTTCCAGGGGCTATTTGGAATCTTTGGTACAAAGTCCTAATGGGGATGCCACAGAAGCTGCTCAAAATGCCCCTTGAGTCTTACTGACCACTCTGTGCTACAGGTCCAGAATGCCCAGCCGCTGGTAGACACCCATCCACCAAAGACCTTCAGCCACCTCCACCTAAAGCTCAAGAAGCTGAAGGTACATGCCGCCTTCTCTTCTAACCACATTCCCAGCTTACAAGGCGATATCAGCTCCAAGCCCCTGGATCGTGACTGGACAAGCTCTTTGACCTTGTCAAAACCAAGGTGTCATCTAAGAGGCCAAATAACCCCACCCCAATGGAACTGGCTGGTAACTGTACCAGAACCTTCCCTGATATTGCATAGACACAGACAGATAACTTTAGGGCTTTTTGTACAGTGAAGCTACAGATAATTAATTAGCATCATTCCTTTACATTTTTTTTTTTTTTTGGCCAGTTCCGGATTTGTATTTCTTGAAGTGTAGGCCGTGGGTGAGAGTGACCCATACATAATCACCCATGCAGCGATGCCCCCAAGGCAAACTGAAAGGGATGATGTTGATCAGCCAAACGCAGCTAAAGAATGGCTGAGCAAAGCAGTGAGCCAGTCCATTTAAAAACTGAAAGCAGGCCTTAGTAGTCCCACTCTCATGGCAAGATGGGAGGAAAGACAGGAGAGTTCCTGGAAGCTTGTGGGCCAAAGAATATGGCCAATCAAGCAGCAAATAAGAAATCCCATCTCAAACAAAATAGACAGCCAAGGTTATCCTCTAACTTCCATAGACATGTTGAAGCACATGAATACACACACACACACACAAGCACATGTTTGTGCATGCACACTGCAGGAGACTATATGTATAATCTTTTCTTCCCTCTGGAATTTAGTATATACTTCTCCTGAGCAGTGTAAAATATTTCGTGAGATAATTCCCTCGCTAGTATGGCCCCTACATGACAGTTTAATGGACAACTTTAATGCACTAGATGCTATAGCTCCTTGCTGCTAAAGCCCCATCCCAGTGTATCCCAACCCAAAGATGGAGTGGTTGGTCACCCTGCTCTTGCCCCAGTGCCCAGGATTATGGTGTACCCCACTAGCCGCTGCTGATACCTCAAGGGAACCTACAGAGCATGACTTTGAAAAAGTCTGTCTGGAAGAACCTTGTGCTATTGAGGGATCCCTGTGTCCACAGATGGAGGAAGAAAGGCTCTCCATCATTGACAGAGACAACTGCCTGCTTCTGCAGAGGGTAGCCTCTGTCATGAGAACCAGGGGACAGACTGACAGCGGCAATAACTTCACACATAGAAGGTAACAGAAGGGCTCTTTACATTTGCCTTGGCCAGCTCCAGGTTAGACCTGGGTTCAAGAGCAGGGGACAGGGCATGGTGATACAGAGACCAGGCATTCTTTACTATCACAAGAGCCAGATTCAAAGTCCCCACATGCTCCTGACTCCAAACCTCCTTGAGGCTCTGAGGTATATCAAGGAATAAGAATGGACCCAGAGTGGCAGCTGCCCAGCCACATGTCTGCTGTGTGCCAGGCACTGTTCATAGATCTTTCCCAAGGACCAGCAAAGTATAGGCTACAGAGCTTCTCATTTCATAGTGGGGAAACCGAGGTACAATGAAGCTGCACAACGTGGCCAAAATTGCCATCACTGTGGAGGGTGCAGGGTGTGTCCAATTTGCAGAGCACCCAATAGTCTTGCAGGGTTAGATCCTTGTGTGGGATGGAGCAAAGGGCTCAGATCTAATGCCTGTGTGAGAACATCCCCCTTTATGCCAGCACTGTTCTCTGAAACCTGTGGTTTCTTCCAGCTTAGAGGATGAAGGGCAGCCCCATGTTCCATGAAACCACCCTTTGAACACTCTCATGAGTCATTGGTCCTCTCTTCTGTAAAAGAGTGGTGCTCCATCCTTGTTAGTCATATATCCTAGGAGACCTTTGCAGTCTCTCCTTTTGAGTGCAGAGTTGTGCTGGTGACCATACAGGGCCATGGTGATGCAGGCTTTCCTGCAGATGCTTTAACCCTTTAGAGCAGTTTTCAGACTCAGAATTAACTAAACAATAGGCAAGCACCAGGCGGCCAAGCCCCCAACTCAGGGAAGAGATGGAGGTGCCATGAACAGGACCACCCATCTAGGGGACCCTGTCTGTTTCAAGGACACAGAAAACTACTTGATTTAGATAGTATAAATACAGAAGCTTGGTAGCTTCTTAGAAAGACGCAAAGGCCAACACTTTGAAACTATATAGTCAATAACTACAGATTAACTCCTGACAACTTTTCTGTCCTCAATGAGATACATTTGGCAGTTGGTAAAAATATCTTATAATGAAGTTATAAAGGTTGATGGATTTTATATGTCACACACTGAAACCATGTCTGCAGTGAAGATGGCACCTACAACTCTTGCTCCCAACTCTTCTGGTGCCAGTCAGGTATCCTCACGACAGCCGGGCCCTGGAGGTTGCACGGGATATGGTTGGCTCTGTTATTGTATATCTGTTCTTCAGAATGACATTGGTTTATTTTGTTGTTGTTTGGTTTTCATAAACAGGGTTTCTATATAGCTCTGGCTCTACCTCTTGGGTGCTGGGATTAAAAGTGTGCACCACCATGCTTGGCTAGATTGACATTCTTGGGGACATTGTTGGGTCACTCTTGGGCTGCAGAGTGGCACCCTCCCCTTTGGACACACTCAGTTGACTTACCACTGATGAGCATTTTGGGTTGTTTTGGTTGTTACTATTAAGGTTACAATGATAATTTATGTTTAAAACACACACAGAGACACACACACACAGCTTATACCTGTGTCTGCAGAGACCAACAACTCAGTAGAAAATAGAGAATTCAATTAAGCCACCCAGAGAGGGAGCCCCTGAAGGAAAAGAAGGGACTCTTGACCATGCATCCCAGCAAAATCGATAACAAATATTAAATGGACAAACAACAAAAGCCAACCATTTAAAGCAGAGGTTCTCAACCTGTGGGTTTTAATCCCTTTGGAGCTGAAGGACCCTTTCACAGGGGTCACATATCAGATATCCTGCATATCAGATATTTACATTACAATTTGTAACAGTAACAAAATTATAGTTGTGAAGTAGCAATGAAATCATTTCATGGTTGGGGTCACCACAGCATAAGGAAGTGTATTAAAAGGGTCACAACATTAGGAAGGTCGACATGCACTGATTTAAAGGTTTGTAAATTGTCATGAGGGCATGTAACACAGCTAGTGGAGAATATCTATCTCAACAAGAGGGAAAGCTACAGTATTTGAACTGTGCCCCACCACTGCCTGGCCACCCTTCTCCTTTCAGCGCCCTGTTCAGCATTGCCTTCTGGTTGCCACCACTCCCCCTTATTGGTCTGACATCTTTACCTTGTGAGCTCAGTGCCCACTCCCCAAGAGGACAGAAAGCATCCTAGCACTTGGATGGAGAGGGATGGTTTGTTGAGTGTTTCCCAATGGGAAGCAAACAAGAGCCCTTGGCGTTACCCAGAACCTACCAGGTCTGATAAGACATGGCCTCCTTTTGTGAGTACACAGTGAGCTTTCTGCTCCATAACTCTTGGTTGATGAAAGAATGTATGTCTTCTTCCTTTCCGGAGTCTAAACAGGAAGACGAGAGAACAGGTGCATATGAAAGCACAGAAACAAAACAAAGTCATTCTGGAAAGACACCAAAGCTCAGAGCCCTGGTGTGGAACACAGAGATGTTGGGTGAATGGAGCTGTAGGGGCCAGACATCCCCGCAAATGCAGATGCATCCAGAGAAAAGGTACCTGCAATTCTTGTTGTAAATACACAGCAATCTAATTCCTGACTTCATCAGGTTCATCTCACTTAGATTCACTGAGTCTTGACTCTCTGGTACCTTCTGTACACTTATCAGTGAATAGATGTCTCAAGTCATAAAGGCATAGTGAAGCCAGAGCCACTGTCCCCCAGAGAATTCACCCGTTTCTCTTCCCAAACTTACAAGGAGATAAAAATGAGCTCAACTGATTGGTTACAGGCTCAGGAGCCAAGGAGACTTTGGTGAAAATATAACTTGACCAGATAGTATGCTTCAAAACTCCTGTGGGACTACACTGACTACCTGAATTAGCTGTTCTACACAGAATCCAGGACAAAATAAAACTACAACCTGGAAGAATTTGCTAGAAAACTTATACTCTAAATCCTTCCTCTTTGTCTAACACAAATCACTGGCAAGTTCATAATTTTGAATGAAGAGCAATCTAATTCTGTCATAATTGTTCCTGCAAATGTCTTGATGAATCAAAGTAATTTTGGGTCTTACATCTTAACTTACTATCCTTATCTGTGATGCTGTCTTCAAAATCAAGTCTATTCTAGGGAAATGTGTAGATACCAAATTAATAATAAGTATTCCTGGACATAGAACAGGCCCTGATCAAGACCCAGCCAAAAGATACCATCCCTCAGATCCTATCCCTGTGACACCTGGTCTTTTAGTCCGTCCCCACTGTCCCCATAGGCACTGAACTTGGCTCATATTATTTCTGATCATATGGCCTTCCTATTATTTGCCTGGACATTTCTTCTAAATTCCTGAAGCATTAGGACAAGTATTGCAAAGATGTATAATAAGAAGCAATTGCTAAGTAGCAAAACACAGGGAAATTTAGTTTGCTTTATAATTTACATAGAAAAACTTGAACATTTTGTTTCAAACTTTGATTTTAATTACAGAGCATTGGCATTCGCTATTGTAGAAAATAAGACATTAACAGCATGGAATGATTGATTACTAAGCAGTGTCCCTTCTCAGACATCTTAGAAGTCATTACTAGAGGCTTTTGTGCATATTTTTATTTATTATGTGTATATATTTGTTCACACACATGTTTTCTGTAACCTGCCCATTTCATTCAATTACATTTCATAGAAATCATTCAATGTCAGTACATAATGGTCTTTTCTATCCCTCTTTTTTAGCAGTTAGTATTTTGTACATATATATATACTTTAATTTATTCATATAGTCCTCAACTCATTAAAAAAAAAAACCTGATACCATTGATGTTTAGTAAGGATCAGGAGAAACAAATAGGCCAAATAGATGTTTATTTAGGGAGAAATAACTCACAACATAGACAGATGAACACCAGCAGGTTCCTGGTCCCAAAGATGCCTCCGTATGTATTCCTGTCCCCGTGCTGCAAGCACGAGAGCTCTCTGAGCCCCCTCCTCAGCCTTAGTTCCCCCAGGTCACATCTGGCCCTGTCTCCACTCCCAATGGATGTGGTCTATGCCACAGGTGTGGACAAAGTGAATATCTCACTACATGATACTTTTCATTATTTTAAGTGAAACTATGATAATCACTATCGTGCATGTGTATCTGTAACTTTCATTTCTAGATTAAAATTGTTCACTTGAAAGATGGGCCCAGTAGACACTTTTAAGTTACTGTCTAGAACATTCTAGGTGCTGCCCTCCATTCTGGGGACAGAGCATTGTTTCTCTCACAGTCTAGCCAACATTGGATGGTAGAGATAGTTTAAGATTTTTGACTGTGAATTTCTGTTCATATGTTTTCATCTAGTTCCCCTGGATATCTCTTTGAGTTATTATCAATATTTCACTATTTACCTTTTCTCTATTGTCATTGTCACAAGTACTCACTCTCCCATACTGAGCATTTCCTCTAGGCTCATATTAGTGGTAAAATCTGCCAAGTTTTTCCCTATGGCCTCTCTAGTATTCTAAGAGTGTGACAATGTTTGCCCTCGTTTTTTCTTTTGGTGTTTGTTTGTTTGTTTGTTTTTGAGACAGGTTTTCTCTGTGTAGCCCTGGCAATCCTGGAACTCACTCTGTAGACCAGGCTGGCCTCGAACTCACAGGGATTAAAGGCATGTTGCCACCACTGCCCGGCTCCCTTATTTTTTTTTCTTTAAGTCTGTAATAAATGTGGAAATTTTATACATTGTGTAAATTTGTTATCAAAGGGTTTCCATTTTTTAAAGATAGAATTTCACTATGTAGTACAGGCTGGTCTTGAACTCAAATCCTTCTGCCTCAGCCTCCCAATTGCTAAGATTACAGGCATACATACCCTGCCTTGCTTCAAAGTTCATTCTTTCCAAATATTGGAAGTTAAACAAAAACAAAGCAACAACAACAAAAATAAAGCTGGGCACCAATGGCTCACACCTTTAATCCCAGTACTCAGGAGGCAGATGCATGTGGATCTCTGTGAGTTTGAGATGTACAGAGAGAGTTCTAGGACAGCCAGAACCACACAAAGAATCTGTCTCGAAAAATCAAAAATTAATTTTTAAAAGCCCGCTTAAAAAATGAGATTGCTATATCTGCCACCTTTATAAGTATTGTTACCATTCCCATATTGGCTTTATTTAAGGTAGCCCTTAAGGACAAAGATGAATTTTGCTTTTTAGCTGAGTCTAGAACTTTTACTTACTAAATACTATATTTGCTCTCATTTCTGGTTCTCAGAGGTAACGGGTCCTTTGTTTGCTTGGACTGCCTTGCTCTCCCACTTTAAGGAACAAGAAGTGAAAAGGTGATGAGAAAAGGAGATGCAGAGAGAGCGAGACAGACAGACAGAGAGAGAGAGAGAGAGAGGGGGGGGGGGAAGGTTGTTGTGCTTGGAAACATCCCCTGCAGCTGCCAGCCACGTCTGTCCATGCTCCAGCTCCATGTAGGATCCCGGGGCGGCTCCTTAAGGGCAACCCCCACCTCCTGTCCCACACTCAGCTCTGGGCCCACTGGGGCTTTGTCAGTGGCTCTGGACTTTTCCTCTTCGTGAAAGGCAGGAAACAGCTGTGGCTGCCTTAGCCTGTGGTCGGGAGGCAGCTTCCTGCCAGGAGCCTTTCGGTCCATCATAGGCATTTCCAGGACCTTCTCTCTGTGTACCCATGGGAAAGACCGAGGGACCTAGGGCTCCGTGGCCTCTTCCCAGTTCGGGGATGCCTTGCTCTTAGGTGACTTCACTTTTTTCTCTTTTTTGTTTTTTGTTTTGCTTTGTTTGAGTCAGGGTCGTACCCTGCAATCCTGGCTGGCTTGGAACTTAATAGACCAGCCTAGCTTTGAACTCACAGAGATTTGCCTACCTCTGTTTCTCAAGTGCTAGGATTAAAGGCCTCGTCTGATAGATGTTCCAGTTTTTATAGAAGTAAAATAAAAAAGTATATAAGTAAAATTATGTTATCTGAAAGTTGCAGGTGTAAAAAAGGAAGGACTCCATTTTATAGGATTGGAAGTCAGCTTGGTCTCTATTGGCCCTATATAAACAGGAACTATCATAAGCCTCTTATAGGCATGCTGGAGAAGACCACCCTCTCCCAGCCAAGGCATCAGTTTCTCCCTCAGAACTGCTTGTTTCCTAACTCCAGTGAGAGCAAGCACTGTGCCATTAGGAAAAAGATATCTATGAGATCATCCAGTAAAAACCATTGGTCCATACTAGTGCTTACTGGGGCTTAGGTTAGTGGAAGCACATGGCCTTTACAATCCACACACAAACACTAGAACACACACACACACACACACACACACACACACACACACTGAGAAAACAAAACACATGAACTAACCCTGAGCAGTAGACATGCTCCAAGTTGTTCAAGGCAGCTCCGTGGTTTCAGACAAATGCCCAGTTCCCAGCACTCAGTAAAGACAGATGGGCCTCAGCTCCTGCACCCATGTCAGGGTTCAGTGAGCAGTGTTTGGTCAGGGCTATAAGGCTCCTGACTCTGGAAACAACATGTTTTAGCTTCTGTCCTTCACCACATGTTTCTATCATATGAGTCAAAACTAGGGCGCAGGTGACACCTAGAAACCAACAGTCAGTTTGCTGATTCAATGTAAGCAAAGACTCTACAGCAAAATTTGAAGGAACATAACCCATCATTTGACTACACACACATCCAAGGAAGATACTCAGTGACCCATGTGCACATGAAAAGGTAATGTTACTGAGGAAGTGGGAATCAATACAACAGTGAGAAACCCTTCACATTTCCTACACTGGCTGGAATGGCAGGTGACAGCATGTGCTTGTGAGGTGTGTGGAGAAACTGGGAGGCACAGCGGTGATGCACTTACTTTGAAAACACTTTGCTGCTTCCTCTGAAAATGAGACAGCAATTCCACTGCTAAGGAGAGAATAAAAACGGAACTACAAATACACATGAAACTGTGCACACACATCTGTGTCTGGAACAGCATTATTAACAATAACCAGATGTCTGTAAACTGATGAGTGAGAAAATAAAATAAGGTATATCTGCACAATGGAATATGATTTTGTCATGAAAACCATGAGGTCTTGCATTGATACATTGTGGAGATTAAAGACATCTGTGAAAGAGCCAGATGCAGAGTGGTACGTGAGATGCCCAGACGAGCAAATCCCATTGACAAAAAGACTAATGGTTATTGGGAAATGGAAAGGAAAAATTGGGGAGAAATAGCTATGGAATATGGTTTGGGGAGAGTTGGTGATTAAAATGTTCCCAAATTATACTGTAATTATAGCTGTACACATATTAATATATCCAAACCTCTAAAGTATTCACTTTAAAAGGTAGTGTTTAGGTATAGAATTACTATATCTCAGTCAAATCATTATGAAAAAACAAAGATATGAACCAGCATAGTGGCACACACTGGGAGGTAGAGGGCAGTAGGATCTGGACTTAAAGGTTATCCTCAACTACATAGGAAGTCCAAGGGCAGCCTGGGCTATGCCAGACCTTGTCTCAACAAACAAACAAAAAGCCAGACACAGCAACAAAAGATTATGTAGGACATTCTAAATGCATTCTAGAGAACTGGCATGTTTTCTCGTCCTTGCCTAAAGAAGATGACTATTCTATCATTTTTGGTTCCACAGGAGCAGAAACTGACACCCAGCAAGGGCACAGCCCCATCTGGATGCCCAACCTGAAGTGGAAGGGGTGAGGGTTCAGAACCCAAACACCCAGTGCCCAGAAACACTGAGGAGGCCCTCCCGTGCTTTCCCTGGGAGGGGTGGGGATGGAGGTGGGTGTGTGCAGGTCTTGGTGATGGTAGCCTAGCATCTGAGGCCAAGCTGGCTCCTGTGTGCCTCCAGGGACAGCCGTGAGGGCTGTGACACAGCACCCTGGAGCTCTGTGGTCACGATGTTGGACAGATGACACAGCACAGCTATTTATTGTGTTACTTGGACTGATAACAAAAAAACAAAACATGCAGAGTAATGCTGAAAGCGACTGGGTTTTGAATTAGACTTTCTTTTCTTGCTATTAATACTTTTTTCTGAGTTACCATGAGTTCCTGTGTTTGTATGTAATTGCCCTAAAAACTCCGTGACTATCAATTTACCAGATATGTAAATAAATAAAATTGAGAACTTTAACCCAGATCCAGAATACATGACCCAAGAAGTAGGACCCAGCTAGTCTTGCAGAACTATTAAGGAGTGTCTAACAGTCCTCAGCCTCTGTGCTTTTCCTGTTTTCAGGTAAGATCACATTTAAGCTATTCTACAACAAGGAGCTGCTAGTCTTTCTGCCTCAGGAAGTAACTAAAAAACCCATGCATTAGTGGCACACACCTTTAATCCCAGCACTCTGGAATCAGAGGCAGGTGGATCTCTGTGAGTTGGAGGCCAGCCTGGTCTACAGAGCAAGTTCCAAGACAGGCTCGAAAACAATACAGAGAAACCCTGTCTTGAATAAAACAAAAACAAAACAACAACAACAAAAAAACCATGCATACTTTCACCTATTCATGCAGCTAAGTCCTGTGGGGGTGGGGGTTCAAAAGTGTGGAGGAAGTGCTCCATGTAAGCTGGGAGCAGTCTTTTCTGAGGAGGCACACCTCGTTGCCTAATTATTGTCTCTCTCTCTCTTTCTCTCTCTTTTCTCTCTCTCTCTCTCTCTCTCTCTCTCTCTCTCTCTGTGTGTGTGTGTGTGTGCTAGTGCAAGCTCATTTAGTTTCTTTATGCTCAAACCCTTTATATTTAAAGGTCAGTAGCAAGTCTAATGCTGGCTTTCAATGAGCTTTCAATAAAGAAGCTTGGGCCTTCAGTACACAACACAAACATGGTCCTTAAACCTTGGAACTTGTGGGCTAGAGAGATGGCTCAGAGGTTAAGAGCACTGGCTGTTCTTCCAAAGTCCTGAGTTCAATTCCCGGCAACCACAACCATCTGCAATGAGATCTGGTGCCCTCTCCTGCCATGCAGGTATATGCAGACAGAACACTGTATACATAATAAATAAATCTGTTTAAAAAAAAAGGATGTGTTGCTGAACGCTACAAAACTTCTCATCTGAGCAACAGGTAGGGCTGGAGTCTGCCTCAGGCAGTATACAGGTGGCCTGTGCACCCAGTAGTGATGACACAAGTCCCTTCTTAACTGTCCAGCTGTCCATCAGGTATGACAGAAAGGTGACCTCTCAGTAGCATATGTGTCCTTAGCTTACAAGCATCACCTTTGCACTTGCTCCCTGAAGGTGGCACCTGTCCATGCCCATGCTGACTCCACTGGGGAACATAAGGTTCCTAGAAACACTTGGTGGCATTGTTTGCTGTTACTGCAGCATGTCACCAAACTAGAAGAGTTGCCATTTGATCACGTGACAATTATTCCTGTTCCTCTCCTGCCATTCCAGAGAGCAAGCAGTGGATAAAGACTGCCAAATCATTCCATAGAGCCAAGGCTTAGGCAAAATCTTCCCATTACAGGAGGACTTCTGCTCTTTGGCCCTCTGAACATTTTTCATATGAGAAATAATCTTATTATTTTTCCTTGCCCACCACTTTGATTCCTGCTTGGTCAGTCAACATTGCCTAAAAGAATTATACAAGGCTGACCTCTGTCTACAGCAGGACAAGGTCACAATAAAAATAATTTTCTCACGTGTGCTGTGTAGTGTACCTAGCCCCTTTGGCTGCCAATCAGGATCCTAAATATGAGGAGATGTTCTGGAAGTTTGATTGGCTCAGGTGAGTAAAGAACCCAGGCCTCTCAGGGCTCAGGTTGTGCACTTTCTTCCCCTCCAGACACGCCCCTCACACCCAAAAGAGAGGAAAGACACCTATGAGCTAAAGTCCTGCCATGCAGAGGGGACACTTCAAAACAATCAAGTCTCATGCTCAGAAGATGGCTCAGAGGTTAAGAGCACTGGCTGCTCTTTCAGAGGTCCTGAGTTCAATCCCCAGCATCCATATGGTGACTCACAACTATATGTAGTGAGATCTGGTGCCCTCTTCTGGCCTGCAGGCATACATGCAGGCAGAACACTGTGCATAACAAATAAATCTTTAAAAAAATAAATATATATATGTATATATATGTATATATACATATATATATATAAAGTACATGACACAGCTGGGCAGTGACTAATGGACAAGATGGCAGGCACATTTATCCTGTCTCACACATGCTCAGCAGCTCAAGAGGCCTCTTTGTGCCATGTGATGCCATCTCTTGGTTTCTAGAGAGCAAGACACTTCTCATAACAGTCTCTTTTCTTGAGGTTAGCCATAATATCAAAACAAACAAACAAATAAAACACATAGTAGACACACGAAAAACAATTCTGTAAGAACCAAACCAGTTTAACCTACAAGTAGGAAACCACAGCTAACACTGTCCCTCAGAAGATGGCTGAAGCCTGGTGGTGGTGGTGCACACCTTTGATCCCAGTGGCAGGCAGATCTCTGTGAGTTCAAGACCAGTCTGGTCAACAGAGCTAGTTCCAGGACAGTCTCCAAAGCCACAGAGAAACCCTGTCTTGAACAGACACACACACACACACACACACACACACACACACACAAAGGCGGCTAGAGGGGAAGAGCTAGCAGCACTTTACTTTAGCTATGAAACTTGTGAGCTACAATAATGATCTACCAGGCAAGAGTGGCGTGACTATTATAAGGGAAGCCGACTGCTTTCTTATTGGATTGAGCATGCTTCCAAGTTTAGAATTAGTTCCAGGTACTGTAAGCTTCTCAAGAGTCTGTGGCCAAGGAGGTCATATGCCCTTGTAGGGAACCCACTACCAGTGTTTTGTTAAATGGCCATGTTTTCAAACTGCCTTCTAAATATGTTTATATGTACATATTAGTGCTACATTTGTCCTTGATCAAAGTTAATGCAGTGGGCAGCAATTGGCCAAAGCACAGAGTAGGAATGACTGTGGGGTGCTTATCCCTGAACAGAACATGTGTATCAATTAACTCCAATATTCAAGGAGCATCATAGAAGGGGTAAAAATAATGTAAGAGCCAGAGGGTAGGGAGATGTGCAGCAAAAAGACATTTTGGGCCATGACCTAACTGCACTCTTGAACTCACTATGGCTGAGGTTATCTACACAAGACCTGCATGAGATTGGGCCAGGCAGCATTTAATCACAGGATAGGAAAGAAGCTCATGAGGCCCAGCCTTCCCTTAAGGAATATTGGAAATTCATGGCCACAGGAGTGTTTCTCCCCCTCCATCTGTGTAGCTTCAGTGAATGACTTCGCTTGTGTGCTCAAGCAAGTAACTAATTCAACCCAGGGGTTCACACACTAAGCAGCTCTTCAAGACTCCTTCATGCCTTCAAAACCAGCACCACCTGGGGGGACTCTTACACTAACTTCCAAGTTCGGCTGCCAACATAAGCTACAATCTTGGTTGCCTCTGGAACACAGCTTCCATGTGCTGACCCTCAGGAAACACTTCCCAGAATATTTCACCATCGATGCCGGTCTCTTTTTAATCACTGCTAATTTCTTAGTTCCAGCTGACCAGCATTCAGCATCCCAGCAAAGCAAATGCTTCACTTTAGAAGTTCTGGTATCTTATTAATCACGGCTGATTCTTCAGCCCCAGCTGACCAGAACCTCGGACTCTTAATTTGTAATTACAGTTTCAGAGGATCCAACATCCTTCTATTCTCTGTGACTACTGCACACACATGGTGAAAGCAACCATATGTGTAAAATAAAAATAAATAAATCTTTAAAATAAAATAGCACCAAGCTGCCAACTTGACACAATCCATATCATTGAGGAAGAGGGACTCTCAAAGAATTACATAGATCAGATTGATTTCTGGGCAAGCTGTGGAGATTGATGTGAGAGTGCTAATCTCAGTGTGGGCTGTGCTATCCCGGGCAGGTAATCTTGGGTGCTGTTAGAAATCAGGATGAACAAGTCAGTAAGCAGCACTCTTCCATGGCCACTGTACCCATTCCCACCTCGAGTTCCTGCCCTCATTTCCCTTCATGATGAACTGTGATCAAGTCACATAAGATGAAATGAACCATTTTCTCCCCCAGCTGCTTTTGATCATAGTGTTTCATCACATAGTGTTTTGTCACAGGGCGTAGGGTTTAGAAGCTCTAACTAAGACATCTCATTAGATTGTTTTTGGTCATGGTGTTTATCACAGCAACAGAAAAACAAACTAAGATAGTGCCCAAACAATTTCAGCATTTTGGGCCAGAATAGAAGCAAGGACACTTTGGCCTTCTGGCCAAGGACCAGAACAGAACTGATGGTTTACAGGACCCTGCCCTAAAACAGACTGGCCAGTTTTTATCTCCAGTTCTCATCACTACCACTGAAAGGAAAAGAGAAATTAAATGCCAACGCAGGGAGCTCCATTTTTCCCTGAAGGAAATGATCACTGAATTTAGGTTGTCCAGAGAAACAAGAGGAAGGAGGGTGTGAAGAAGAAAGACTTATTAGAAGACACCAGTTCACCCAATTATGGATGTTAAAAAGCCCTGAGATCTATAGTCAGCCATCTGGAGACCCAGAAGAACTATGATGGCTAACCTTGATTGTCAACTGGTCTGAATTTATAATCACCATAGAAACAAATCTCTGAGTGTTGTCTGTGAAAATATTTCCAGAAAGACTCAACTGAGGAGGGAGGACTCATCCTTAATGTGGGTGGAACCATCCTGTAGACTGGGTTCTTGAACTGAATAAAAAAGAAAGCAGGGGGCTAAAGAGATGGCTCAGCAATTAAGAGCACTGGCTGCTCTTCCAGAGGACCCAGGTTCAACTCTCAGCACCCACATGGCAGCTCACAACTGTCTGTAACTGCAGTCCCAGAGAATTTGGCACCCTCACACAGACATGCATGCAGGCAAGACGTCAATGCACATAAAAATAAATCTTTAAGGAAAAGAAGTAGAACTGAGCTCCAGTTTTCACTGTTTCTCTGCTTCCTGGCTGCAGATGTAATGTGACTAGCTCCCTCACACCCCTGCCACCGTGCCTTCCTATCATGACAGGCTATGCTCCTCAAAGTGTAAGCTAAAATATGCCATTTCCCCCTTCTGTTGCTTCTTATCATGCATGTGGTCAGAGTAAGAAGAAAAGCAATTAGCACAAGAGCTGGCGATATGAGTTCCAGCCCAAGAAAATGCTGAATGCAAAGCAAGGAGAAGCTGACATCCATTTAAAACATCCTGGTAGAGACTGACCTGAACTTACTCTGCTTTTCTATTCTACTTAGTCTTTTAACAGGCTAGATGTGGAGGCCTACCCACACTGGGAAGGACTTCTGCTTTCCTCAGTTCACTTGTTCAAAATTAATCACATCTATAGACACCCTCCCTAATAAACTTAGTGCAGTGTTTACCAAATATCTGAGTGCCCAGTGGTCCAGTCCTTGAGCATCACAGCCCCGCCAGCAAGATATAAAGGAGTCGTTTGAACTGCACCATAGCTTAGCCTAATCTGATGGATGTGACAAGAAAAATGTAGGTATTGTTGACACTGGTGCATAATGATGTCATCTACAAAGTACAACCTAGATAATTGCACAAGCAAGTTACAGACAAAGCAAAACAAACCACATACAAATCTCATTCTGTTTTAAGAGAGTTTACCATCTTTTCTTGGGACACATTCATAGCTCTCCTCTGTCACATGGGACCCATGAACCATAAGTTGGAGAACTCTATAAAACATAAAAAAATAACAAAGTGGGTTCTAATGAGGAAAGGCAAGTCTTAGAATCAATACTGTATATTTAACTTTTTTTGTGGAAAGGAGATATATCTGTAATTATGCATACATACAAACTACAGGAAGAAATCAGGAAATGTGCCAGGTGGATATGTGTAGTCATTGTATCTGGGAAGACAAGGAAAAATTGAAGTCTTTACAAAGAGATCATAGGAAATTTATACAATTTAGGAAAATACACTGAAGAGAGGCAGATGAGGACCTTAATATTCTGTAAGTGTTCATTTGTATTTCGTACTGTAGAAAGGCATCTGCAATACAATATTGCAAATAGCTCAGCACATGCACACTGCTGATGGTTGTTTTGTTCCATGTTAACCCCAGCCCAAGTCTGTGCTAGAAAAATGAAGATCTTACCACCCTTGGAACTATGCAAACCCAGCCACACAGTGAGGTGATAAAGGAAAAGTGCAGAGAACATAAGGAGATATACACCAACATAATCTTGACCAGAGAGGCAATTCTAAGCTTTGGAATAATTGCCTTTGTTTCCACTTCTTATAAGGCCTCTTGGCTGAAGATGAGATTTAAAAGAGGGTGCTCAAATGTTAATCCACTATCTACTCAGATCGCTGACTCTCTGGATAATGTATAATTTAAAAGTTCAATTCCTGTTTCTGCTCTTTAGCATTTGTGGTGACAGTACAAATTTTCTTTATAAAATCATGCTATTCATAAAATTGGTAGAACTGTAAATGTGGTAAAACTATACCTTGCCACATACCCACCTCAAATTAACGAGCACAGCTGGATCACTACCTAAGAATGGAGAAGACAGAAAAGAAAATGTGTGTGTGTGGGGGGGGATATTATACAGTCATATATGTATGTGTGTACATTCACAGAAAATAATTCAGCCTACTGCTCATAGTGGTGACAGCACAAACTTTGAGTGGTACCATTCTCAACGTTCAAAAAGCAACATATGTGCACAGAATGAAATGTTTAAAACACAAAATGCCCGGTGTGGTGTTGCACACTTGTAATTCCAGCACCCAGTAGGCAGAAGGTGGTAGTCAAAGGCCAGTCTAGTACACATGGTCAGCTCTGGACCACCCGGGACTTGTTGAGAGATTCCGTCTCAAAAACCAGCCCGGAGAGAAAAGTGTCCATAGACGCATCTCTCCCACTCCCTGGCGGCACGGAATCCGGCTAGATGCCCTGCACTGCCTCCCCGACAAGAGGCGAAGAGGCTGGGGACAGGGGGCTGGCACCCGGGAATACCACGGAACCAATAGAGTGGACACAGCCTAGAGGGGGGAACGCTTTCGCGGGGGACTTCCGGGGTAGGGCCTGTCAGGAGCGGAAGTGCCGTGTGGCGCGCGGGGTCTGATCCGGGCGGTGGTCGGCGGGCTTCGGTCCTTTGGCCCCGGGGTGCGCGTGGCGTGTCGAGTGGGTGTCGGGTGCCTGCCCTGGCCTCGCGGTCATGAACCTGGAGCCGCTGCGGAAGCGTGTCCGGCAGTACTTGGACCAGGTGCGCGGCGGGTGGCCTCCCGGACGCTGGGCTTCGGGGCAGTGGGGCCTGGCGGGGATCGCGCAGCTGATAGCTCAGATCGTGCGTGGGCCGCGCAAGCGGGGCTGGGTTGCGGGTTTGCATTGCGGCCTTGGGATCTGGCTGGGCAGTGGTTCTCATTTGGCTGAGTACGAGTGAACGGGAATGCAAGCAAGCTGTCCCTGGTTAGGATTTGAAACAATACCTAACGCTATAAATACGGCCCCTGCGCTTCCCCCGAGTGGACAGCAGGGAGTGTTTAAGGAAAGGTGTGTCTGGAGTCCACGTCATTGTGATGTCATTTGTGTTTTGCTAAAACGCTTGCTCTCCTGGTAAATGGGAAACGGAATTGATGCGTAGTGATTTGACCAAATGTTTATGATTTGCTGTGAGTCTGCGTGGTAGCCAGCACTCGGTTTTGTGATTCTTTTCTTTGGCACCGAGATGTAGAGAGGATGATGTAGGCCGGGTTTCCACTCCGGGGTCGTCTGTTTTGAACATATTCTCATCTCCATAAGGCTTTCTCCTGTCCACCTGTTTGGCAACCGTGTTCTGCTTGTATCCGGGGGAACTGAGGTGAAGGCAGTAAGCCAGGAATTAACTCTAACCACTACAAATTCATGCGTGTCTTTCCGCTGTCATATTGTTAGCATTGGCTATAGGGCGTGACTTTGTCCATGGTCAGCGGATGTTAATGTGTTATGGTTTTCATTTTAAATATTTGAATCTAGTGCTCTATTAAATTCTACTTTGGGATTCATTTTAGCTTATTAAAAGTATTATTACATAAATGTCAGTAGATGTCCGTACAATTACCACTTAAGTTATTTACTGTTTTAGATATTAGCTGATACATTTTTTGGGGGTAGTGTATGGGTTAAACTGCGATCTTGAATTGTAATTCTAAAGGTCTTACAGTGACTAAACTTCACACTGGATGAGCTATAAGACATAGATGATTGATGGGCCCCTTGCTACATTTAGGGGCTTATTGTAGTGAGTTGTTTGTTGACGGGTTTATAATAATAGACATCTGTTCAGAACTGTGGGAGCAATGGCAATCACCCTGTGTTTGCTTTTTGTATGCAGCAACAGTATCAGAGTGCTCTGTTTTGGGCAGACAAAGTAGCCTCACTCTCTCATGGTGAGTGACATGCTATTTTTCCCCCTAACTAATCTTCAGAGATCTCTCTATAAACCTCTGACCACTTGTGTAATTTTGCTCCTTAGAGGAACCCCAGGATGTGTATTGGTTGGCTCAGTGTCTTTACCTCACAGCCCAGTATCACAGAGCCGCCCATGCACTGCGGTCACGCAAACTGGACAAAGTAAGTACTGACTCGTTAGGTTCCTTTATTATTATGTTTTTTTACTTATTTTACATAAGGACCACAGTTTTCCCTCCCTCCTCTTCTCCCACTCCTTCCCCCCACCTCCTCTCTACACCAAACCCCCCAGCACGCATACACACACACACACACACACACACACACACACACACACGAGTGTCCACTCCTCCTCTGTCTATCTCCATTCAGAAAGGGCCAGGTCTCCCATGAGAGTTGCCAAAGCATGGCATATGAAGTTTAGGCAGGACTGAACTACTTCTGCATCAAGGCTGGGCAAGGCATTTCAGCATGGGGAATGGGTTCCCAAAAGCAAGCTTAAGCACCAGGGACAGGTCCTGATACTACTACCAAGAACCCCACAAACAGACCAAGCTACACAACTATCACCCACATGCAGAGGGCCTAGATCAGACCCATGCAGACTCCCAGCTGGGCTCCCAAGTCCGTGAGCTCCCAAGAGCTCAGGTCAACTGGTTTTTTGGTGTTTTGCTTTATTAAATGTTTTCACTTATTTGTGTACTTATTAAGGTCCTTTTTATTAGGTATATGCTCTGTTTTTGGTTTATATTTAAAAGAAACGGAGTTTGTTTTTATGTGAAGAGATGTTTTTTAAATAGTTTTTTTTTTTTATTTGTGTGTGTGCACATGCACGCGCAAGTGAGTACAGACACACACAGGCAGGCTCCTGAACCACCTGAGGGAGTTTGTCCTCCTACTTTGTGGGTCTCAGGATCAGACTCTGGTCTTGGTCCTCAGGCAAGTGCTTTACCTCCTGAGCTGTCTTGACAGCCCTATTTGCTTGTTTTGAGATCAGGTCTCACTGTTTTGCTTAGTATGGTTTCTCTTTTCTTCCTTCCTTACCTTTTTTTTTTTCTTTTTAAGATTTATTATGTATAGTGTTCCAACTGCATGTATACCTACATGCCACAAGAGGGCATCATATTTCATTATAGATGGTTGTAAACCATCTTGTGGTTGCTGGGAATTGAACTCAGGACCTCTGGAAGAGCAGAGAGTGCTCTTAAGTTCTGAGTCATATCTTCAGTCCCTTAGTCTGGTTTCTAATTCCTAGGCTCAGGGCGGTTCTCCTGCCTCAGCCTCTTGCATCGTTGGGAGGGATTATAGATGCAACCTTGGATTCCCTGCCTTTAATATTTTCTTGATGATATGGTCTAAAAAGTCTAAGGCTTTTTTTTTTTTTTAAGAGCTGTAAAGGAGAAATAAAGCTCTTTAGTTTGTGTTTATAATTTTCTTTTAAAGTACAAATGTGTATTATTTTATGCATTATATGCCCGTGTTGTACATGTGACTTATTTCTTTTCTAGTTGTATGAAGCATGCCGATACCTTGCAGCTAGGTGCCACGTAAGTGTGCTTAGTTTGTTTTATTTGGTGGAAATTTGACTGATGTGAATGGTATGCATCCTTCATGGATGTGTGGCAGTTTGTGTCCTGGAGGCTGAAGCCTGGTGACTTAGCATGATATTTCATAAAGAATGTCCTTTTCTTCAGTATTATTTTCTATAAAAATATTGATTCTTAATTCATAAAAAGCTGACATGCACGAAGAAAGTTGTAGTTTAGGCATTTAAACTGAAATAATGGATGTAGTAGTCATTGCTCTTTAGAAATCTAGAAGACACAGGTGACAAATGGTACTTTTGTTTTCTTCACAGTATGCTGCAAAAGAGCACCAGCAGGCTCTTGACATTCTTGACATGGAGGAACCGATTAACAGAAGGCTCTTTGAAAAATACATGAAGGATGAAAGTGGCTCGAAGGACCCTTCCAGTGACTGGGAAATGTCACAGTCCTCGGTGAGTAATGTAGTTAGCATGTCTCAGCAGCAGCAGTGGGAAGTGCCCACATGACCTGACAAAAATTCCTCTACATGGGTTCGGTGTGTACAAGAATTATGGTTACCTGCTTGTGCCAACTAATGGAAGACCTTTCTGACTGAGTGCCAGTTTGATGTGTGGCCTCACAAGTGCCTGGAGCTCCATACAGCAGGTGGAAAGCTTCTTTGCCTTTCTGTGTTTTAGACATATGCAGAGGAACCTTAATTGGCTTTAATTGTTTACAGGAAAGAATTTGTTATTTGTTCAGAAGCATATAATAATGTCGTTTGCTATGTTTGAGTCTGCATTATTCATAATTCCACAAAATTGAAACAGACTAATAGTAACAATTAATTGCATATTGAGATTATTAACTTGGCCCATCACTCATTTTAGTGGTTTATTTTTGAGGAACAGTTCACCCATTGAAAGTATACAGCCCCATGGCGTTGTGAAGCTCTGCCAGCCTTACTCCTAGCAACTTTAGGGCATTTTTCTCATTCAGAGACTTGTACTCTTGTTACTCCAAATCTACATGTCTCTCTTATAGCATAGTTATGAGGGAGCTGGAATGGTTACTCTGCTCCTCATTTAGACAGTACAGGAATATTACACATCTAGGCATCTCTCTCCTCCCTCCTTCCTTACTCTTCCTTTATTAATAATGTGCTTAGAAGCATATTAATGTTTTTCTAGGAAATACATACATTTCCTACCTTGGAATTATTATTTTTGGACCTCTTGTCTATCAACTTACCTGTTAGAAATGCTTACACCTCAGGAAACTGCCTAAGATTCTCTTCCAAAGGCCCTTCTATTTTAAATATTCATTTATGAATTTTTGCCACTTGTGACTTTAGTGGCCCATCTGTGAATCATCACTGCCTTTGGTTAGTATGTTTTTTAAGGTTTAAGGTCTTGATAGAATCAGGTTCCACATTCTGTTGGTGGTAGGAAACAACATGACCAGACTACAGAGCTGTCCACACCTCCAGTCCTTACAGAGTCCCATAATTAATGTGTGTGCCTCCTTTTTCATAGTGAGGAAAGTAAACAGAGGCCAAGACAGTAAATCACACAGAAGCACGTATAGCTGTCAAGGCCAGGGTTTTAACTCTGGTCCCTGGGCTCTCCCAGGCCACTCCTGATCTCGACCAGGAGCCCTCTTGCTGCCTGGGTCTGATATTTTCTAGGGCCTTCTCATTTGGTTTATGTGTCAGTCTTTGTCTTTTATTTCAATTTTATTATCCATTCTCATCTCACGCATATGAAGGGATGTGCCCAGAAGCAGTACTCCTGAAGTTATCCAGCTCTTCACTGGAATAAGTCATTAGTGACCAGTGTCCAGAGAGACTGACCAAAGAAGCTTTAGTCAAGCCTGTAACTGTGTAGCCCAGGTTGGATTTGAACTTGCAATCCTCCTTTCTCAGTTTTCCAAGTGCTAGAATCCTAGCCTGTTGTGACTAAAGCTTTGTTTTGTGCTGTGGTAAATCTATTAATTCATACTCTGCTTTGGCAGTTGGATGACACTGTGAACACAATAAAAACTTCTCAGTGTTCTACTAGTGTATATCTCTTAGTCAAAAGTGAGTCTTACTTAGTATGTAACCAATTATATTTTGCCAACAGATCAAGAGTTCAATTTGTCTTCTACGTGGGAAAATCTATGATGCTTTGGATAATCGCACTCTGGCCACCTACAGCTACAAAGAGGCTTTGAAACTTGATGTCTACTGTTTTGAAGCATTTGATCTTTTAACATCACACCACATGTTGACAGCACAAGAAGGTTTGGGAACTCCTGTGTTGTTGTTGAATAGAATGATTAATATTGTTTTGTTTGCCTTATTTTCTGAAGTCTGTGTACTCGAGAGCAGGGTACATAATAGGCTCACATAGACTACCAGCTTCCTTAATGTCTCCAAATGTGAAGCACATCACAAAACACTGTGCAGTGCAATGTCTTTTGCTGATAGTCTTTGGGGTTGTGGTATCATGAAGTCCTTCTTGAGAACTGATTTGAGGGGGAGCTGTAAACCAAGATTCAGTGATTTTCATCCTAGCCACACTTTAAATCCCTTTGTTTCCAAGTCCCAGTTTCAGAGCAGTTAAATCAACAATTTCTAGATTGTGGGCTCTGAGGATAGTCAATTTAAAGCTGCTGGGTGACTCTGATTTACCTCAGGGACTGTGGTGTAGGTCATTAAGAGAACAAAAAAAAAAAAAAAAAAACAGAGTTGTGTGATAATGGGTTCACACCCAGACATAGCCAAATTAGTGGTTCTTAGACCATGGGCTCACTGCAGTGTCTGAAGACCTTGGGTCAGGGCAGAGTTGTTAGGGAACTGGATGCTGGTATGTAGTAGAGACCCCAGGCTGTGCTCAGGGTGCCTCTTGGGGGAGTGGGCCATGAGACAGGACTGTCATCACCAAGGCCTGTGTTTTTGTCTGGCTGATTAGGGGAACCATCTAGAGCTCTTCCAGGGTCAGCATTCTCTACTGTACTTTGACTTCCTTTTCTCCTGAGTTGATTTACATAGATTGCAAACTATAAAACTGTTTTTAATTGCTGTTTCCCCTGTGAGTATTTTGAAGACTTTGTTGTTTGTTTGTTTTCATTTTTAAGAAAAAGAACTTCTTGACTCACTGCCCCTTAGTAAGCTCGGTGCTGAAGAACAAGAATTGCTACGATTTGTATTTGAGAACAAATTAAAAAAGGTAAGGAAAACCTGGCCTGACCTTGCATTTATGTAGATACCTTCCTTAGCATTGGCCTTTTCCTGCATGTGTGTATATATGTGCTTTTATCCACACATGCATCAGGTGTATATAGACCTGAGCTGATGTTGGCATGCTTTCCTCTATCACCTTTCCACAAATTTTCTCCTTGAACCTGGCTGTTTGGCTAGAGTAGCTGGCATTGAGCTTCCGACATTCACTTGTTGCTTAGTGCTGAATTACAGGCTGTGACCATGGACAGTTTTACATGGGTGCTGGATTACAGGTTGTGACCACGTACAGTTTTACATGGGTGCTGGATTACAGGCTGTGACCATGCACAGTTTTACATGGGTGCTGGATTACAGGTTGTGACCATGTACAGTTTTACATGTGTGCTGGATTACAGGCCTGTAACCATTTACAGTTTTACATGGATGCTGGGAAATCCTGCGTTACAGGCTGTGACCATGTACAGTTTTACAGGGGTGCTGGAGTGCTGGGTTACAGGCTGTGACCATGCAGGTGACATGCTGAGGATCGGAATGCAGGCCTCATGATTGCACAGCAAGTGTGTTGTACCTAGCCTAATCCAGGTTTTTTTTTTTTTAATTGTTTATTAATGTAGCATGTGCCAAAATAGATTATTTACATATATGAAAATGCTTCCTAAGTATCATCTAAACTTGTATGAGAAATATGCTGCTGTGGAACTCTGATGAAATTGAAAAGGTAAATTAACAATGTTTTGGGGGCTTGTGTGCTTCTCATGTAATGCCTTCCTGTCTTAGGTAAAACATGGATTGAGTCTGCTGTTTGCTTTGTTATTGTTCACTTTATGTATAAATTTCTCTGTTTCAGTATAATAAGCCCAGTGAAACTGTCATTCCCGGGCCAGTAGATGGCTTGCAAGAGAATCTGGATGTGGTGGTGTCTTTAGCTGAGAGACATTATTATAACTGTGATTTTAAGATGTGCTACAAGCTTACTTCTGCGTAAGTATCTTCCTGTTCTTATGTGACAATGTATGGTGCAGTCCATAGCTGTCTAATTCACAGATTCTCTGATAGTCTTACATTAGTTGTTAATAATTAAGTTACCTTTTCCATTTGTAGAGTATTGAACAGTGGCAGGTTCCAGACACAAAGTTATTGATATGTGTAGACACAAAGTTATTGATTATTTGCTATAGTTACTTGAGAAGAATAGACATGCCTGTCTTCCCAGGCCATCTACTGACTTTGGAATGATAATTTCCCTGGGCTTATTATATTGAAACACAGAAATTTAAACATAAAGTGAATAGTAGCAAAGCAAAAGGTAGTATCAATCCATGCTACCCAAGAAATGAGAGTTTGAAGGTGTCATTTAGCCCATAGTTTTGTAAAACTCACCATTTATTGCCGTTGGATCTAACAGTCCTCTGACCCCAGGTGCTCCGTCTTGCATATTCCTAGCTCAGCAATCTATCTCCTCCACATGCCAGTTTTCCATTTCCTCTTCAGACATCTGAGCTAAATTACAGTTTATAGATTTTGTGGAGCTTTGGAGGATTTTTGTTTTGTTTTTTATTTTTATTGGTGTTTTTTATTTTAATTTTTGAAATCACAAAAATATCACTCAATAAATACTTGTGATCTTCTTAAAAATGTATACTATGTGTCCTTTTTAGCTTGTTAGACTATGTATTAAAATTCTGTTGATTTTTAAAGTAAATGAAAAGGCTAAAGTTTACTTTTATTTGTTCCAGCCGAACTAGTTTTCTATTTATTTTTATTTTACTAGATTGAACCTAGGACTTGTACATTCTTGGCAAGTGTTCTGACCCTGAGCCCCAGCCCTTTATTTTGATACACGGTCTTACTGAGTTGTCAAGGCTGGCTTTGAACTTGTCATTCTTCTGCCTTGGCCTCTCGAGTAGCTGGTAATGTAGGTATGCACTGTGAGGCCTGGCTTCCCTTTCCTTTATAACCTAAGCATTGCTTTAACTAAAGTATTATAGGTTACAGCATCATGTGTGATACGCAGTGACTAGGGTGATGAGGACTGCCATCTTGCTGCCTTCCAGGCAGTCATGTGCTGCTTTCATTTCAGAGTGATGGAAAAGGACCCTTTCCATGCCAGCTGTTTACCTGTGCACATAGGAACTCTCGTGGAGCTGAATAAAGCAAATGGTGAGAGCCCCGTGTATGTCCAGTCCTATAGTCCTAGCAGCGGGGGATGACCTCAGACTCCTGATCCTCCTATCCCTACCTCCCATGGGGTCATAGGTGTGTACCTCCAGGCCAGGCTTTAACTGTAAGGGAAAGAACATTCTAAACTATTAATTTTGTGTTACAAATCCTGGCCACTTAAGACACAGTGTAGCAGAGCCCACAGCAGAGGTGACACTCATGTCAGAGTGATTGATGATCTCCCTGTCTCCTGTTCCCTTTTTTCAAATGTAATGTTAGCTTTACTAAGTGTTCATTTTGACTGTTTTCCTTCCTTTTTTGGGGATAGCCCTGGCTATCCTGGAACTCACTATGTAGACCAGGATGGCCTCACCCTGGAAATCTACCTGCCTCTGCTTCCCACGTGTTGGGATTAAGCCACCACTGCTTGGTTTCTGTCTTTTTTTTTTTTTTTTTTTTTTTTTTTTGTATAAGATTACCATAGAAAAACAGATAAGTCAATATTTAGAAATTGTTTACCTTTACCTGCATTTCCTTTTTTTTTTTTTTTTTTTTTTTTTTTTTTAAGAAACAGTTTGTTGGGCAGTATATTTGCTTTTAAGTCTTTTGAAACTGAATAGCAAGTTATGTCAAGAGGAGGCAAAAGAAAAACCAGAGAAGCTTCAACTCTAAACTCTTCTCGCTGGGGTTCTATAATATCATGTCTTCTGGAATCAAAGATGCAGACTCCCCGCCCCCTAGAATACTGAGTCCAGAGTGTACATGTGCCATCATGAGGTGGCATATTTCTCAAGAGGAAATCTCTCACTCTGTGATACATGAAAGTTTGGATGGCAGTTTGACTGTAGGTGACTTACAACACTGCATCCCAGCCTGTGGCATGAGGTGTATGGGTTTCTCAAATGCGTGTGTTAGATGAACCTCTCTGTCACCTCAAGTGCTCAGCTGGGTGTCTGTACTCTTGTGGTCCACTGTGTACCCTTAAGCCACTAGAAAGTCACTCATCCAGTGCTCGGTGCCCAACATTAGGACTAGACCGGGTGTATACAGGTGGGTTAGTACTGGAGAGAAAGAAGGTATGAGATTGTTGCATGAGGATAGTTTTCCGAGGGCAGGCCAGATCTGAACTTTAAATTATTCATATCAAATTACATTTTCCCCTTTTTCCTAAAACAGAACTGTTCTATCTTTCTCACAAACTGGTGGACTTGTATCCAGGTAATCCTGTAAGTAACATAATTTTTTTTCTTCTGTGAACTTTAAGAAAATATTTTGCTAATATGTAGCCAGTCACTTGTATTTTTAAGTTCAAGCAAATAATGTTTATGTTAAAACATCTAGACAGAATCTTGTAGTGCTGGAGATAATATTAAATGGCTCTTTAATGTCTATCCCATAAAGCCAGTTATATTTACAATAAAGCAGTAACTTTCAATGAAACCTTTTTTCTCTGCTTATAGAAATATACATAGTCCTTTAATATGCTCTGCAGATGCACAAGATTCTTAGTTCCATGCTTCCCTCTTGAGGATGTAATTGTCCCATAGTCGTGTGTGTGTGTGTGTGTGTGTGTGTGTGTGTGTGTGTGTAAGCCACCACTGAGCTTGTGTTGATTGCTTCCAGCCTTTAGTGTCAGAATAGAACTAAGAGTAGAGAACAGGAGCAGGAGCTGCAGGAGTTTAGAGACAAAAGCCAGGAGCAGAAACTGAGTCTCAGACAAGATGTCTCTAGCTTAGCTGAAACCAGTGTAAGGGTATCCCGCTAACTACAACTCAGAACCAGCTAGAAGGCAAAGAAAAGCCAGAGTCAAGCCAGAACTCATAGGCAGGTGTGCTTAGGACCCTTGTCCTCAGTGGAGTATCTGTTCTTATGCAAGACCTCAGTAAATGTTTGTGCAGTCTCAGAGAATCCCTACTTCAGGCTGACCTGGGAGCATCTAACCTACTAGCCTGCCTTGTTAGATTCCAGTTCAAGGTTAACCGTCTTTGGTTATAGTAAATATTGAACTTTTTAGGTGTCTTGGTTTGCGGTGGGATGTTACTATCTCATGGTTGGTCATAAAAATGAGCATGCCAGAAGATATCTCAGGTATGAATTTGTTTTCTTCCTTTCTGTGTAGCGAACCTCTGAGAAGGGAATTCTTGCTCATAAGCTTTCATGCAGTAAGTGGTGTGTATGTTAAAAGCAGCATGAATGAATAAATACTTCTTTGGGCTGGTTCTGTTCACATGCATTGCTTATTTGTATAACTGTTCATTAGGATGCTGTGCAGAGAGATAAAGTAGTGGTACAAGCCTTGCACTCCAAGAGCTTAGATTGTGTTTTATTTGTAAACAAGAACAGGAAACAGAATGATGTAGTTTGAAAAGGCTTTTCCTGTACACTATCAGCCTTAGCTTTTGCTAGTAGTGAAAACACATTAAACTCTGAATGAGATTAGGTTAGGTTAACTCAGTGTTACCATAGAATAAGTAGGCTCCTGGAAGTATCTGCTGTGGTTTCAAGTTTTCTTACACCCAGGGTGCCAATATGGTACCTGGCTCAAAACAGGCCCACATCATGTGGCCATTTGTGCCACCAGTGTTACACCCAGGTCTAGATTGAGCTGCTATATGAGAAGTATTTGTAAGTTGCATACAGTATCCTAATGAGTTTAGCTATAATTACTCTATCTAAAAAGCACAGGACTCCTAAAATTTCTTAAAATGTATGTATTGTCTTAAGTTAGTTGCATTAACAATTGTACATGTTTGTTAGCAGTTTGTTTGCTTGATGTTATTAATGTTTTCGACACCATGTACTTAGAAAACTGAAGAATAAATACATGACTTGAATATTGCTTTTGTTCCAGCAAAGCTACCACACTGGAGAAGACCTATGGGCCTGCTTGGATAGCCTATGGGCATTCCTTTGCTGTGGAGAGTGAGCATGACCAAGCGATGGCTGCTTATTTCACAGCAGCCCAGCTGATGAAAGGGTATGGCACAGCAGCTTGACTCAGTGCCAGGAGGGGCTTCTACCTGCCCAGTCAAGAGCAAGAAAGACTAGGAAATGCGACCATGGGGAGAATTGAGCACAGGATTCCCCCCCCCCCTTTTTTTTTTACATGCTCATGAAGAATGGCAGTATTCATAGTAAAATTATTATGTCTCATCTGTTACTGAGTCATTTGCTGTGTGAGTTGCCATGTGGGTACTAGAAACTGAACCTGGCCTCGAACTCACATAGATCTGCCTGCCTCTCTCTGCCTCTGCCTCCCAAGTGCTAGGATTAAAGGCATGCACCACCAACGCCTGGCACTTATTTTTCATTGTCCTTATGTTACTACTTGCTTTAGTCTCTTTAGTAGATCTACTAGTGGATAGATTCTGTCTTGTTATACCTTGTTCTCGTGGCTCCTTCAACCTATTTAAATATGTTTATAAATACTTTTAGTGATTTGTTTTATTTCATTACTATTTGGTTCTCTATTACAATTTTTATTTTGGAGGCCCTAAAGAGCTGGCTTAGCAGTTAAGAGCACTTAATTTCTCTTGTAAAGACCAAGGTTCAGTTTTCAGTACCCACATGGCAAATCATAGCAGCCTGTAAGTACAGTTTAGGGGAATCTGATGTCTGCTTTTGGCCTTCATGGGCTCCTGTACGCACTCAGTCACAGACATATATAAAAGTCATTGATTTTTTTTTTTTTTTTTTTTTATTGCTGTTCTCTGATGGGGCACTGTTCTTAAACTTTTCACTTATTTTGCAACACAATTTTATAAACACAGTTTAGTTCTTTGAATATTAAGCTAGCTTATTTAAAGTATTGTCTTTTAAGGCCAATATCTCATCTTCTGTTAGTATGTTTTCTAATGAGTTCTTTCTTTTTCTGTTTGGACCATACTTTAGAGTTAGGAAGAAGTAAATGATAGGATCTGAGATCTAAAGCTGATAAATTTCTGTTGCATTACAACATTTTGGTATTGAATATGTGAAACTTTCAAATCTTTTCAGGTGTCACTTGCCAATGCTGTATATTGGACTAGAATATGGTTTGACCAATAACTCTAAACTGGCTGAACGATTCTTTGGCCAAGCTCTGAGCATTGCCCCAGAAGATCCCTTTGTCATCCATGAGGTTGGAGTGGTTGCCTTCCAGAATGGAGAGTAAGTAGTGGAGGGCTCAGCCCTTGCATCAGCTCTGCATAAGTGGGACCTTATGCAGACCATACTTGCTCTTCAGCAGATTTTTAATTTTAGATGTGTTATTTTAGGGGTGAATTCAAAGGTAGAAATTCCCTTCTTGGAGTCCCTTAAAACACTAAACTGTATTCTGGTCCTCCTTTAATGTGAGCTGCCACAAATTCCAGTACCCACCATGTGGCCTGGAGGCCCCACAGAATCTTTATTCATCTTTGTCAACTAGATGTTAGATTCCCACCTTTGAGTAAGTATTTCACATCTTAAGATAAAAATATCCTGGGATTAGTTATTGTTAGGACAAAAAAAATGTTTATCCACTTAGAGTAATCCAGTCTTTAGTTTCCTGGTAGTAGCTTTTCTGTAGCTTGACTAAAGAACAAGTAATTTGGAGTCATACTCAAAGAGAAACTCTATGTCCCATAATGTAAGCACAGACCTCACTGTTGTGTTCTAAATTCTAGGTGATGGGACTATGAGAGGTGGCTCAGCAGATAAGGACACTTGCTGCCTTTGTGGAGGACCAAGGTTCAGTTCCAAGCGCCCTCATGGTGGCTTACAACTATTTGTAACTCTAGTTCCAGGGGACCCAATGCTCCCTTCTGACCTCTGCAGGCACCAGACACACACATGGTGCACTTACATAAATTCAGGCAGAACATTTAGACATGTAAAATAAAAAGATCTTCAAAAAATTTTCAGTTAAGTTATGTAAAGAGGGCTTGTAGCCTTACAAAAATAAGGATTATGACTTTATGTTTATGAGTGTTTTTTACCTGCATGTTTGCATATCACATGTGTGCCTGGTGTCTACAGAAGCCAGAGGGTACAAGATGGTTGTCAGCCATCTTGAGTGTCCTGGGAATTTCCAAATTTACTGCTGCTTCTTGATGAAACCTAAGTAGCCATCATGTGGCTTCAAGGGAATGTGTACTAGCTGGACAGTAGGTGAATGATTATGCTGTTGGCTATATGTTCAGTGTTAGTAAATTGATAGTATATGTTAAATAAGGTCAGTCATTGTTTAGTTGATGAAATATTGTGGCCAGACATTTACAGGAGTCTAAATACCACTCATCATGAGAATTGACTTATCGCTCCTAAATCCTCAACTTGTGTAATATTAATGTCATAAGATTAGCTGTTTGTCTTGCTCATTTTTTTTTCTTCTTTTGCATTAAATTTTTTTTTTTGGAGTTATACAAAGTGATGAGTTTCATTATGGCATTTTCATGTATATGCCATTATACTTTGTTTTTATTTGTGGTGTAATGGGAATTATTTTCAGCAGTTTCCAGGTTATTTTTAGTTCTGCTAAGATATTCAAGTTTTCTTCAGTGTTTATCTTTGCAATTTTGAAATAACTGTGAACCTCCTCTCCTCTGTTTTAGATGGAAAACAGCAGAAAAGTGGTTTCTTGATGCTCTGGAAAAAATTAAAGCCATTGGGAATGAGGTAAGATCTCTATGTGCACACATAGGCAGCCTGGAGCAGTTACTGTTGGACATGGGGAATGCAGACAGTCTTTCTCCTAGAAGAGAGTAACCTAATAGTTGGCACAAGTAACTTGACGGTGTTATGCTTCTTAGTTGACTTTCATGTCACAGAAGACATGAGCTCAGATCTGGTTAAAGAGCAGTTACTGGCTGGGACATGGGGTAGCATTGAAAACACATAGGTTGGGTTGGGGTCTTTCTTTTGGTGATTTCTAATGGTTGGTGGAAGTATTCGTCATTTATTTGATACTGTTTCTCTAGAGCTTTAGAGAGCCTTGTCAGTAAAAACTGCAGTTGGCAGCAGACCCAGTTGTCATTCAAATTCAGACCTTTTGTTCTCATGAATTAATGCTAAGGAATTAACCTTCCAAGTGGCAAGGCTGTATTCATACTGGTATTATTCATAAACAGTAATTTTAAATGTAAGCCTGTATAGCTAAGAGATTTCCATGTGACTGCTCTTTTGATTTCTGGTTTCTTTAACTGGTCTTTGTAGTCTTACTCTGCTCTGAGTTCCACACAAGGGTGTTACTTTGCACATTCGTGCTTGGGGACTCCCTTCCTTTGTGTTTGTGTGTCTCTCTTTAACAGACTCAGCCACCGGGGAGTCTGCCAACTCCATAGATTGAGCTGTGACTACTTTGCCTTTTACTGTTGATCATTTGAACTTACAAACATACTCCTGTGTGTTCCACACATGTGTCTGTAAAGTGCGTTTTTCCTTAGCTGAGTCATGGGCAGTTCTGAATCATACTGTTGTTTTTGTTAAAGTAGGATTACCACTCACCACATCCCATCTTTGAGACAGTTAAATACCTTAGCTGTCCACTGCTCCAGTAGCAGGAGCATCACCTGGAACCAGTTTACAAAAACAGTCCTAAGATCTGTTAATAAAAGTTACAGTTTTAGCAACACTCAGAGTCTCATGCATAGGAAAGTTTGAGAAGTATGTTCCTGAGCTACTCCTAAAAATATTCTTTCAGCCAGGCATGGTGGTGCACGCCTTCAGACGCAGCACTACAGAGGCAGAAGCATGTGAATCTCTGAGTTCCAGGACAGCAAGGGCTATTACACAGAGAAACCCTGTCTGTAAAGCCAAATATATACATTTTTTCATTCATAAGCAATTTGCAATTTTACAGAAACTTAAATGTGAGAACATACTACAGTTGAAATACCAGCACACCAATCAGAAGCTATAGGAAAGGATAACTTCAGTAAGATCTCTTGAGCTAGCTCAAGAGAAGCTGCTCTTGCCTAAGAATCTCAGAAGCATCTTTTGTTTGCATGGGCTGAGCCCCTAAATCTAGTCTTCAAAGCATTTTAAAAGGTGACCCTTTGTTTATTGCCTCACGTGTTTAATAAGTACCAGTCATGAGCTCAGAACTGTCAGATACAATAAGAACTATTTCCATATTTCCTGCCCTCAGATCCATCAGAAAACACAGGTAGGTAATTTGCAGCAGTGATGCAATATGAAGGAAGATAGGAAGATATCACATGCAAGGGTTGTTCACCCAACACCCAAATATGACAGTGGCCAGGAAGGGTTTGGGGTATGTCACACATCCCATCCTTAGTAAGCTGACGTTAGTTAGCTAGACAGAAATGAGGAGCAAGGTATTTCAGAGGCAGAAATGACAAGTTCAGAAATCATTTTGTTTTGGATTTGACATTTCAGATATCAAGAAATGGGGCAGGTAAGTTAAAGGCCTTGGAAATGGTGTTAGAGTTGACAAATTACCCTGGGAAATGTAAAATGAGAAGTTTCAGAAGAAGACATCCTAGCTGAGTTTGTAGGATAGGTGCCCAGCCAGCCTTCTGATACTGGGAAGCCAATGTTTACGGAGTTGGAGTCGGGCCTGCCAAGTGAACTGAACAAGCTCTGGGACTCTTAGACAGGCCAGATGTCCTGTCCCATTGATTGGCTGCTTTGGACATTTACAGTGAGCTAGAATGACTAGGGAAAGACAAATTAACATGGCATACTGAATTGAAAGTGCTGTAACATTTCTAGATGGAAATATTTAATAGGCTGATGGCTATAAAGATCCAGTGTTTCAAACTAACTCTAGGTGGCAAGTACACAATTACAATTTCTCTGGCATGGATGGACTCTGGAACAACATTGTGCTCATTACAGTAAAGTTCTCAGGAAGGCTCAGCTAGTGGTGAAGAGAGTTGAATGAACCAGCAGGTTTACCTTTGCATGGAGGAGGCCCTTAGCAGGAAACAGCCCAACTTGCAACTTGGAGGCTGTGAGATGATTCAGTACAAACAAACCAGGCTTAACGGTGACATGGAGCTTGATGTTGCTGTGTTCTAGGTAACAGTTGACAAATGGGAACCTTTGTTGAACAACTTGGGGCATGTCTGCAGAAAACTCAAGTAAGTGATGTAGAGCATATTCAGTTATATTCTTTGTGACAAAAGTTTATTTTGAATAGCCTTTCTGTGTTTTTATTTCATGATATCCTCCAGTCCCTGTTCCTGGCTGCTCAAATTCAACAAGCACCATCATCCCCTTTTTTACTACTTCAGTTTTATTTTAGAAACATTGAGAAGTATAGCCATGTCTTTTTTTTTCCTTTCCTTACATTAAAAAACCTTAGTATACTAAATTAATTTGGAGGCACCTGAACAATAAAGTCTAGTTAAAACCATACCTGTATTCTACATTTGTTTCCCCATAAGTTTCATGGTGACAGTTTAAAATGAGTTCTTTGCCAAGCGATACACTTCAGTTGATAGAGTACTTACCTAGCATTCGAGGGGCCCTGGTTTGCTTCCCAGCATAGCATAAAACCAGCATGGTGACACGTGTGTCTGTGATCCCAGTTTGCAGTAGCTAGAAGCAAGCAGATGAAAAGTTCAAGGTCATCAAGGCTACACTATGAGTTGGGGGCCAGCCTATGATACATGAGACCGTAGGGGGGGCAGGGTAGGGGCTGTTTTGTTTGCATTAAGTCTTGGGAACTCTAGATTATTCAGAAGTTAGTAAGTGTGCTAGACCAAGCCAACACACACCTAAACATGGGTAGTCCCTAGGACTTGGGGTATGAGGTGGGATGATTGCTGCAAGTTTAAGGGTCAGCCTGGGCTATAGCGTAACACTCAAAAAAACAAGCAGAAACACATTGGCAGAGGTTGTGGGTTGGGGTCAGGAGTCTTGACTATCCATTAAAGCTCCAATATTTCTTAGACTTTAACTAAATTAAAACCTTTCCACAAAAGACTTACAGAGCAAATATTCCAATAACTTCAGAAAATGCTATTCTAAGTAATTTATATGTTAAAGTGTGGTAGTTTGAATGTAATTGCCCCCATGGGCTCTTAGGGAGTGGCACTATTAAGAGGTGTGGCTTTGTTGGAGTAGATATGGCCTTGTGGAGGAAGTGTATCACTGTGGATACAGGCTTTGAGGTCTCATATGCTCAAGCCGCACCCAGTGTCTCAGACCACTTCCTGTTGCTTCTGAGTCAAGATTTAAGAACTCTCAGCTCCTTCTCTAGCACTGTTTGCCTGCATGCTGCCTTGCTTCAAGCCATGATGGTAATGAACTAAACCTCTGAAACTGTAAACTAGCCTCAATTAAATATTTTCCTTAATAAGAGTTACCAGGGTAGAAACCCTAACTAAGACATAAAGCAAAACTCTTTTTGGTTTCTTTTAATTGCTCTGGGTATGGAAGGATTATATGTCAGGAAAAATTGGTGTGTGATGAAGCTGAGTCAGAGGACAACCGCTTTATGCAGGAGTTCCTCATCTAGCTAAGGGATAATCCAGGAAACTAGATAAGTAAGTAAACATAAGTAGCCTTGGTTAGCCTAGAATTCATTGTGTAGATCAGGCTAGCCTCAAACTTAAAGTTATCTGCCTGCTTCTGCTGCTTGAATCTAAAGATTAAAGATGTGTTGCACCATACTCCACAGGAAAATATATTTTAAGATATTGAAATCCATAAAAGTAAGTATGGAATAGTTAACATTGGAGACTATATCTCTGAGGAAAGCCTGTGAATTCACACAGACAAATAGGATTTTTTTTTTTAATTAGTAATTTTATTGCACCCTGTAATTGTTGTCTTCCCTCCTCCTCCTCCTCTTCCCTGTGTCTTTGAACAGAAAATATGATGAGGCTTTGGATTACCACAGGCAGGCACTGGTGCTAATCCCTCAGAATGCGTCCACCTATTCTGCTATAGGATACATTCACAGTCTGATGGGCAACTTCGAAAACGCCGTGGACTATTTCCACACAGTATGTCTTCAGCTTCGTATTACTTTAACTAGGGTTAATATATGCTCCTTGCTTTGAAAAAATCTTTTACTTATTTACAAGTTCAAACTTCTTTAGGAACCCTGTGTTTATTCTTTTTTCTGCAAAGAAAGTCTGCATGTTGTATAGTGTTCATCAGATTAGAAGTAAGTGTGAGGCTGGTGCTGCATAGGCACTGAGGAATTTATCATTCATCCCATCTGGATGTTTGTTCACTTAAGAAGAGCAGAAATTCCCATGGAACTTATACCATTAACACTGTGTTCCCTTTGTAGATGAACAAAAACAGCTTGCATATTTATTATAACAAAGGATCTTTTCTTAGTTCACGTGCCTTATTTCGTGAACAATATGGATCTTGTGGTAGGTGTTTTGAAGGTCCATAAAAAAGAGGGGGAGTGACAAATTGAGCTTTAATAAATAATCACAATGATCACAGGGGTTTTTTAAAAAAGCCATCATAATCATCTAACTCGTTTTTTGTACTTTAATGTACCTAGATGTAACTTTTTTTATTGGCATGCTAGTATATGCATTAAAATGTGTGTGCATGCACAAGCATGTGTGTATTAGAAAAAGGCTTCAGTCTTCAGACCAGGCAGCCAGTGTCACTTTCTTCCTTATACAGGACACATGGCACATGGCTATTCTTAAGTCTGGGTTTTACAAGCTGCAGATGCCTGCTCTGAAACTCTTATAAAACCCTCTCAGATTGGTAGTTTGTAAATAAATGTTTTAGACAATCACACACTTTCTATACTACCTTTACATAGTCTCTACATGGTCTTTTCCCTCCTGGCCACAATGTACACATTTCCCAGGCAGAGCAACCTGTGCCTGGTCACAGCAGCAGCAAGGAACTATAAACTATAAGACACCATAGGTTTAGAAATGTTGGAATTTGACAACTTGTGGGCCTTAGGCTCAATTCACTAGTGATATTTGGACAAACATATAATATGAGGCAAAGAAATTTCATTTTTTTTTTTTTTTTTTTTAGTTTTTCGAGACAAGGTTTCTCTGTGTAACAACCCTGGCTGCCCTGGAACTCAGTCTGTAGACCAGGCAGGTCTTGAACTCACATAGATCCACCTGCCTCTGCCTCCCAAGTGCTGGGATTAAAAGTGTATTGCCACCATCACCCAGCTGCAATATTTCAAAGGAAGATTCATTGGTGTAGTAAGTTCCTAATTGGTCTTAAAGAGTCAATTAACAATATTCAGGCTACATGCAGTCCTAGTTAGTCTTGTGGTTATAGGACTACTGAGCTGATCAGCCTCAGGAAGTTTTCTGATCTTGTATGATCTTTGAATGTACACATTTGAATATATTCTAGACTCTATAGAATGCCTCATGAAAGTGTTTTCTAATGAAGGGGAGGGTAACATTCTAACAACTTTGTTCTGTCTTTTTGGCAGGCTCTTGGTCTGAGGAGAGATGACACATTTTCTGTTACTATGCTGGGACATTGCATTGAAATGTACATTGGCGATTCTGAAGCTTATATTGGTAAGACTAAATCATTCTCCTGCAGTGTATTCTGTGTTTGGTCTCTTGAAGTCTCATCCAATGTTCGGAATTCAAGGAATTTATTTGATTTGTCAGAATAATGCAATACAAGTTAGTGACTCACTTCAAGGTGAGTACTTGCTGTACATAGAACATTTGTGAAACATGGTAGTTCCGAAGAGGCTTACTGCACAGTAGAAGAGGAAATAAGAGATGTTTCTCCACAGCAGATGAATGACTTTATCCCCATTGTCTTATAATACAGAACACAACATAATAATCTATATTTTAATGGAAAATTAAGATGCCTTTAATTTACTTAATAGTGACTCATATACTTTGAAATACTTTTATAATGATAAACAATAGGATAATTTTAAATATTATTGCTATTCTTGGCACTTATTTAGGAACAAGTATTTTGAGGTCAGGAGAGTTCATTGAGGTTAAACGTTAGGACTGTAGAAAGGAAAACCTTAGAGGGGGAAATGATAAACTGAGCTTACTAAAATGAAGAACTAAACACCATTACAAGAATGAAAGGCATGCCAGACTCACAACACAGCATATCAGAAATTTCATTTCTACAATTAAAAAAAAAAAAATCCTGCTAGAAAACAAAAATGCATTAAAGACGGGCAAAGATGTGCTCTCTTCAGCAGCACATATACTAAAATTGGAATGATACAGAGAAGATTAGCATGGTCCCTGCACAAGGATGACATGCAAATTCCTGAAGCACTCCACATTCTTAGACCAGACTGGAGAAACCCACAAAAACTGAACAAAGGGAAGCTCATGTCCGGTCTGATAGCTGGGAAACCAGCACAGGACCGACCCAGACTCCCTGAATGTGGTGTTAGTTAGGAGGACTGAGTAGTCTATGGGGCTTCTGGTAGTGGATTAGTATTTTTACCTAGTATATGAATAGATTTCGGGAGCCCATTCCACATAGAGGGATACTTTCTTAGCCTAGACACATGGCGAAGGGCCTAGGCCCTGCTCCAAATGATATGACAGACTTTAAAAATCCCACATGGAAGGCCTCACCCTCTCTGGGGAGCAGAAAGGGGATGAGATGGGGGTGGGTGGGGGGAACAGGGGAGGACAGGAGGGTGTGGGAACTTGGCTTGATATGTAAAACAAATTTATTTCAAATTTAAATTAAAAATTTTAAAAAAAGGGCAAAGATGCTGGAAGTAGTAGTACATGTCTATAATCATACCACTTGGGTTGCTGCAGCAGGAGTATCATAGCATCTAGATCAGTTTGAGCTATATATACAGTCTTAAATCTCTCTCTCTCTCTCTCTCTCTCTCACACACACACGTGCACACGCTCTCTGTCTCCTCTCTCTCTCTCTCTCTCACACACACACACACACACACACACACACGTGCGCACGCTCTCTGTCTCCTTCTCTCTCTCTCTCTCTCTCACACACACACACACACACACACACACACACACGTGCGCACGCTCTCTGTCTCTCTCTCTGTCTCTCTCTCTCTCTCTCTCTCTCACTCTGAAGACCCAGGGTAAAAAGCTTACCACCAATAGTAGGCATCCCCTGTGACTTGTGGGGGAGGAGCCTGAGTTCCAGCTTCTTGCCAGGCTTTTTGTTTCTGTGTGGAAACTATTGGGAAAAGACTTGTTTTGACACAGTTTCAGGAGCTCCAATCTAAGGCAGGAGAAAGCAGAGCAAATTACCACATGGCAGCTAGGAAATCGAGAAGAAAATGCTATGTCTGCTGCCTTTTTCCTTTTCTATCTATTATCCCATCTGGGCCCTTAGCTTAGGGGTGTCACTGCCCACATTTGGTACAGGTCCTCCCCTCTGAATTATTTCTCCTGAACGGCCTTTACAGGCATACCTCAAGTGTGCTTTACAGATCGCTGAGGTGTTTCTCAGCACATTCAAGTGTCAAGTTACAACTTACTGCTTACTGTTTTTATTTTTAGAATGCTATGTCATCTTATACCAAAGTACCTAGTCTTGAAAGTTATTAGTATGAAGTGCATAATGTTTTAGTTATGTATGAAATTACTGAACCTAATCTATCCGACTACATTGGCCCAAATATACATTAATCTTAACATTTTTATATACTTTGACATAACTTGAAAATATACTTCAGTTTCTATGAGCAGTAGATTAGTGACTGTACCCAGCATGGTCTAAGGAATAACATTACTCAAGCTTTGGAAACAGTCAGCAGTGGACCCGTGAAGGAACCATGATTGTGTGTGCTTTGAAAACTTCTCAGCATCTCCTTTGAAAATGGTGGAAATAAAGACCAAAGGGGAAAAAGATGGCATTCCCCTGCCCACCTTGTTCATGCTCTATAAAGTACAGTTGGAATTAAAGGCAATGGCAGCAGTGTTACACTACTTATGGTAGAATTTCATGTTTTCCAATTGCGGTGTTTCTTTTTAGGAGCAGACATTAAAGACAAATTAAAATGTTATGACTTTGATGTGCATACAATGAAGACACTAAAAAACATCATCTCACCTCCGTGGGATTTCAGGGACTTTGAAGTAGAAAAGCCAAACACAGAGGAAGCAGGGCTCGCACCTCTGGAAAACTCCACTAAAACTCCAGACTCCAGACCTCCCTTGGAAGAAACTTTTGAAATTGAAATGAATGAAAGTGACATGATGTTAGAGACATCTATGTCAGACCACAGCACTTAACTTGAGACAGTGGTCCAGGACCCACCCCACCCCATCCCGCCCGCCCCTGTGCACTAGTGTAGGTCAGTATTCCCTTGCATCCTTGCTAGTCTTAAGAATTCCCCACTTCCTAATGTGAGTCCAAACTACATCTCTATATTGAGGACCAGTGGCCTGAATTAAGAGATGGGATAGCACACCTTGGCGGCATTTATATTCTGATCTTCTGATTCTACATAGTAGTTATATATAGTTGAATAAAGATGGCAAACTGTTCATTGTGTCTTTCTTTTTCAATAAAGACTTTGAAATAATTTTTGAGAAATGTTCCCAAGATGTAGAATGTATCAGCTACCTTTCTGTTGCTGTAATAAAATTCTATGATCAAGACAACTTAGTGAAGGAAGAATTCATTTCTTGTTTCAGAGGGATGAATTTTATTGTGCTAGAGAAGCATGCAGCAGTCAGGCATGGTAGCTAGCTGGACCAGGAAGCTAATCACATCCCAACCACATGCATGATGCAGAGTGGACTAAAAGTAGATGAAAGATATTCTCGAGGCAATGGTGACAACATCTGGGGATCAAGTGTTCAAATGCCTGAGGTATGGGAACACTCATTCAGTACCATAGAGAGTATGTCCCTTACCTGGTGTGTCCCTTTGTTAACATTTTACTATTACTGATTGATGTATTGCTCTTCAGCTCTTCTTGTTCCAGCACTCTGAAGGAAGAGGGCAGGTTCAGGGCCAGCCTAGTCTATGTAGTGAGTTCCAGAACAGCCAGGATTATATTAGTGAGACCCTATCTTTAAATAAAAAGTGGGCCCATGAAATGTAAGTCTTGCTACCAAGACCCTTAGTTCAGTCCCTGGAACTCACATGGTGTATTGCCTTCCTCAAAGTGTGTGACCACACACAGATACATTCAATATGTAATGTCTCACTGATAACTTTGACTTTATCTTGGCTGATATTCATCCAGCTCTTAACTGTTGTTTATAAGAACATTTTTTCTTATTTTCCTTTCAACTGTGGCTATCTAAAGTACATCTGTGTGTAATCAAACTTTTCTTAGGCTGCCAGCTCACAAAAAACAACACAGAGACCCATCATTAACTACGAAAGCTCAGCCCCAGCCTAGACATGCCTCACCAGCTCCCACAACTCAAATCAACCCATTAACTTTAATTCATGTTCTGTCTCCTAAACTCCCACCTAACCTCTTCCTAACTACTGGTTGTTAAAGCATTTTATTACACCAATCAGAACAATATATTTTCACACAGTGTACAAATAACCCACATCTATGCTAGACAATACATCACAGTGTAGGTAAAGCTCAATGAGTAAAATGTCTTAAAATAATATTTGCTCTTGTACAGTGTCGTGTATGTGTGCACATGACGGTGTGCACATATATGGCAAGTGCATTTCATTGTATGAAAACTGGAACATTTATACCATTGTGAATGTCAGTCCTCAACAGTTCACCTTGTTAGAAACATCTGTTTGACTTCCACTACACTAGGCTAGCCAGTCCACTACACCAGGCAAGCTGGCCCACAGCTTCTGGAGGTTGTTTCTACTTCACATCTTTCCATAGGAACACTGGTATAGCAGATGGTTTCGTACTGAATGCCCCCAAATGAATTTTCATGTCTGAGCCATTATATTTTTCAGTTCCACAGTATCTGTTCCTTTTATAGAAATTAAAGGAAAAACAAGCCAGGCAGTGGTGTCATACTTTAATCCCAGCACTCCAGAGGCAAAGGCAGGCAGATTTCTGTGAGTTCAGGGCCAGCAGGTCTGTTTGAAGGAGAAACCCTGTCTCGAATCCCACCCCCCTCCCAAAAAAAACAAAACAAAACAAAAACCATAGGCACCATAACCTTCCCTTGTTTTTTCCCCCAGGACGCTAATAATACAATTTAAAATACAGAACAATCATAAAAGTCCCAGTCTTCAAAAACCTGTTAAACGTTCAATGACACTCCTGGTTCAGCCTGCTACAGAGGGCCATGTAGGGGACTGTGACGCTGATGCTTGAGTCTTCGGCCTATTTAAAATGTCACATTTCGAGAAAGTCACAGGATGTCACTGTCACTGTGAAGCCTGGATGCACTTAAACTAAATCTCCACATTTCTGAAATTTACTCATTCTCTCAAGACAAGGGTGCTATAGCTTAAAAACTACAGCCAACGGTGAAGAAGTAAAATTTGAGCACTTGGGAAACCTGTGTTGCTTGTATGCTTTTTAGTTTCGGTGCTGTCCCAGTGACTTTGAGTGGGGCCAGAAATTGCTCTGGGCTCCTGGGACCTCCCAGTCAGTCCCAGACTATCGTGGATGCCATGCACATCACGGGTCAGCATCCCACAGGGTGTCCGGAGGAGCGCGCATCTCCACGCACAGTGTGACAGCACTCATTTCCTGGGTCGCTGTCGTGGGGTACTGAGGATGTTTTGGAAAAGGCTGTACTGAGCACACGGGTCAATATGGAGCACTGCGAGCATCCAGGGATGGCCAGGCTGCCCGCCACCAGCTCGGGGCTGCACTGGCACCGCCCCCTTCCCCCGTCGGGGCCGGGGAGGGGACGATGGACATCGAATGCCAAGGGAGGGGCCGCCTAGTCCTCGCGAGGCTTCGTTGTCGCGGAGGAGGCGGGTGGGCGGCGGGTGGGGATGCGCTCGGAAGAGGGCGTCGGAGGCCTGGGCACGGCCCTGTCTGCGCGGGGCCCCAGCAGGAGAGAGAAGCTGTCGGCCCCGGAGGTCCCGCTCCGCCGCGAGTCGCCGCGGAGGGACAGCGCGGTGGCCCCAGTCCCGTCCTTCAGTGACAGCGGGGCGGGCAAGCCTCGCGAGGAGAAGAGGACGGCCCTGAGCAAGGTGGGGGCGGAGCCTCACGCTCTCCCGTGGGGGCGGGGCCAGCCGTTCTCGCGAGAAGATAGCTCCCAGCCCGAGGGGCGGGGCTTGAGTGGAGCGGTGCGGCGTGCTCGCCTATGGGGCGGGGTCGGTGGGCGGGGCGGGCCCGCCCCATCTAAATGTGTAGCCGTGGCCCTCCCAGGTGGTCCTCCGGCGGCTGCCACCAGGCCTCACCAAAGAGCAGCTGGAAGAGCAACTGCGCCCCCTGCCTGCGCACGATTACTTCGAGGTGGTAGCTGCGGACTTCAGGTGAGGACCGGCAAGCCACCGCGTCACTCTGTACATACGGAGCCGTGGTGCCCTGGTGTGGTGGCACCGTGCTTCTGGCCCGTTGTGCTTGCATGCCTTCCTCCACGTAGCTTTTAGTAAGTTGTGTAATTGGAAAAACCAGAGTGCACTCCAAGTCTGGAGTGTTTTCGCTGGTGAGGGACCTGTAGCTGAGCCGGGAGGAATTGCCACTGTCCGCACCACCACCCAGTCAGACAGGTTCTCTGCCTGAGGCGGTGGCACCAACAGGGCTGGCAGAAGTCATGCCTTTGGGATTCGCCATTTTTTACGATTTTTATTTTTTTGTGTCCTTTTATGTTCTCATTTATGTCGTATGCAGTTAACTTTTGGATACCTGTTTTTGTAAAAAGGAAGAAAAAAAGGAAGAAAGAAAAAAAAGAAAAGAAAAAGGAAAGTCTTCAAATAAAAATATAAGTAATTGCTAAACGGGTAAAAAGCGCAGGTAGTTTTCAGGTGGCTGAAGTTGAGAAAAGTAAAACAACAGGGAGTAAACGATAAAATCCCATCCCCTCTTTGTAACTGGCACCCTCCCTATGAACAGACTTCTCAGACATTTACTATTCTCTGTGAAATAGAATCGAAGAGTCCCCACCTGTGAAAAGAAATGTGTCTGAGATCGGGAGAGTAGTTTCATTTTTTCCTAAGTACCAACGCATCTGTACTACCCGTCCGAAAAGAACCTCATAGTATAACACCCTCATCCATGAGGGAGCCAAGACTAGTCTTGTTCTTGATGTACCAGGAATGACTAAAAATATCCATGACCTTTGGGTGACTTCTGAAGTCTAGTATTTGTTTTCTGAGACAGGGCTTCCTCTATGTAGCCCTGACTGGAACTCCCTCTGTATACCTGGCTGGCCTCAAACTCATAGATCCTCCTGCCTCTCTCTGCCTCTCCAGTGCTGGGATTAATGGCGTGTGCCACCACCACCTGGCTGAAGTCTAGCATTTGAACCTTAGTTATGTACAGTAGAGACAGTCCTGAGTAGTCAAGACTTCAGTTAATGGTTGTTTTATTTTGTTTTCTGCTAAAGAATATCCAGATTGCTATAATTAGTTGAGAAGTGATTCTTTGGCATGAAAAGTGTTTTCTGTATTAATAAAAAATAAATAAGGCAAGGCTAAGGGAGTTGTGCAATTTTATTTTTAGCGTTTTTATCGTTACCTTGTATTTCAGTCTCTATCCTCATCTCTACTCAAGAGCATACATCAATTTTCGGAACCCTGATGACATCCTTCTGTTCAGAGACCGCTTTGATGGATATATCTTCATCGGCAATAAAGGTGAGGTGTGTGTGTGTCTGTGTGTGTGTGTGTGTACTGCTCTGTGTGTATATACACTGCTCTGTGTGTACGTACACTCCTCTGTGTGTGTACACTTGTGTGTCTGTGTGTGTATCCTCCTGAGTGTATACCTCTGTGTGTGTGTACCGCTGTGGATCTGTGTGTGTACACCTGTGTGTCTGTGTGTACACTTCTGTGTCATGTTGTAATTGTGGAAATCAGAGGGCATCTTGTCAAAGCCATTTCTCTCCTTTCACCATATGGGTCCCAGGGTTTCACTTGGGTCATCAGCCTTAGTAACAAGTACCATCACTCACTAAGCTCTCTTGCCAGCCCCAGCCCCTTCGTGTTCCTATCTTCATTCTGCACAGTTGTTGAGGTTAGCATGAAATGTATTCCAAGTAAGTTCAAGTTATAGTATCAGAGCAGTTGCATTACTGACAGGGTTTAAAGTAATACTGCCCAGTGGTTTAATTCAGAGGTACAGTGTTCCAAGTGTTGGTTAAAGACTAGTAACAGAGAACATGTCTCTCAGAGAACATGTTCCTTCCCATAGGACAACATAGTCAGTCCTTACTGCTTTCTTTTTCACTTTTGTTTGAAACAAACCTTGCATAGACCATAACACTCATGTTTGAGGTCTTTAAACCCTTTAGCCCTACATCTCTTTTAAGCAAAATAATTTCCTGGAGCCTAAATAACACTTCAGTAGTTTAATTGGCATCTTAACATTTATTCTTTTTAAGTTTTTATTTTTATTTTAGGTGTATTATGTATGCATGCCTGAATGCATGTATATATACCATGTGTGTGCAGGTACCCTCAGAAGCCAGAAGAAGGCATCTGATTCCCTGGAACTGGAGTTACAGGTGTTTGTGAGACACCTAATGTGAAGTGCTTAGGACCAAATCCAGGTCGTCTGCAAGGACTTCATAGACTCTTAACCCCTGAGCTCTCTCTCTAGCCCATAACATCTTGAAATTAAAATTGATGTGGAGCTGGAAAGATGACTCAGCAGTTAAGAGCACTGGCTACTCTTCCAGAGGGCCTGGGTTTAATTCCCAGTGCCCACATGGCAGCTCATAACTGTCTGTAGCTCCTGTCCCTGAGGATTCAACATACTCTTGAAAAAAAAAAAAAAGCAAAACAAAAAACAAACAAAAAGACCCTCAAAAAACAAACAACAAAACAAAACTGACTGGTGATACTCCATTCATAAATTATTTGGAAGTGATATGGAGTAGCTGGGCCCCTCCCTTTTCCAGTTGGGCAGTTTGGGGTTGGGAATGACCCCGCAGAGCCATGTCATGTAGTAAGACTTGATCCCTTGTCCTCTGCTCTTCTCAAAGCAGTTACCTTGTCACCCCCATGCTTCAGCTCCATGTCAGTTGGGTAATTGTTTCCCAAGGCGGATATAGTAGAGTTTCATAATGATGTTTGGAGTATGTCTCCATGAAAGGGCTGGAGTACCCTGCCGTGGTGGAGTTTGCTCCATTCCAGAAGATCGCCAAAAAGAAGCTGAAGAAAAAAGATGCCAAGACCGGGAGCATCGAAGATGGTGAGACCTTTTCAAAGGCCGATATAGAATACCCCCCCCAAGCTAAATGTGCTGGCCAAATATTGCCTGTAGGTGGAGAGGGGGATGCATTCATTCATGCATTCATTCATGCATGTATTCATGCATTCTGTTTTAAATTTACAGATCCAGAATATAAACAGTTTCTGGAAACATACAGTCTGGAGGAAGAGAAAACCAGTGCTAGTCCTGAGACACTTCTGGGAGAGATAGAAGTGAAGACAAGAGAACTCCTTGGTCTGTCTTCTTCATTTCTTTATTGAGACACTTACTAATGGAGTGTGCATTTCACTCTCCTTTTTTCAAGGCCAGAGTAAAATTTCCTTTTGTTACAGGCTTGATAGAAATAGTATTTTGTGCCTTGGACAAAAGAGTGATGGGGAGGTGAAATGTTTTTGAGCCTTTGTTGATGAATGTGTCCATACGTTGGAGGCCATGGAACTCCTCCTTTTGGGGATAGTCCCCTGGAGACACCTGTAGGCCTGCAGCATGCCAGGGCACCTGACTTCTCAACCAGATATGAGGGTGAGGAGGAGGAGAGGTGATGTTAAGGAAGGAGAAGCTGTGGACCTCGTCTTCAGACAAGTGGAATGGGTGCTTTTGGTCAGTAGTACCATATGCAGTCCTCCTAAACTCCCATATTTAGAGTTAATGTCACGTTATTCTTGTCTTACTAAGTTTAAAAAGATTGATTATCTGAAATGATAAGGACCAGAAATGTTCTTTTTGGGGCTTTGGAAAATATATATATATATATGTATGTATTGAGGAGATGGAATACCAGTCTAAAGGTAAAATTTGTGTTTTCTGTGTATTTTAAACACACAGTCCAAAAAACATTTGTAATGCATCCCTGTTTGACTGACCTATCTCATAAAATCACATGTAGACTTTTCCACTGTGTCTTTATGTCAGTGTTCAAAGCTTTGGTTGAAGCATTTCAGAGTCTGGATTTTTGAATAGGGTGGCATGTGTTAAGGACTTTGTATTACTAGGGCTTTGTATTATAGATGGCTCTGTGGTTGAGAGCACTGACTGCTTCTGTAGAGGACTGAGCATTTTCCAGCACCCTTGTGGCTGTGGCTGCTCACTGCCATTGCTAAGCAGTTCCAGGGAATCTGATACCCTGTTCTGACCACCACGGGTACCAGGTTTAGTCATGGTACATGGACATGCATGCAAACAGCACACTCATAAAATAAAACTAATAAACCTTTAGAAAAAAAAAAACACTAAAAAGTGGAAAAGCAAAATATCTGACAGTTTGTATGGCATCAGAGTAAATCAAAGAAAACATATAAACATTATTTGTGATTCTTCAGAAGTATAAAAAGATATTAGTAATATTTGAGAAGCTTAATCTATCACACACATACTACTTTTTTGCCAACTATGTGAGCAATATTTTTTGATTACTTTAAGAAAAAGAATCATGTGTTGCCTTTGCCCCTGTAAATAACCACTTACCTATATATAGTACTATAAACAGTTACCAAACAACAACATGGAAGGTAGACCTAGGAAGCAGGAGGGTTGGGCTGGGAAGAGAAAGCGGCCTGCAGGACCAGGAGAGGTCAAGAGTGGGCCACAGAGTGTAAATGTGATCAAAATAATTATATGCAATATGAAAATGTCATAATGACCCATTGTTGTGTATAACTGATATATGCTAATAAGTTTAAAAGAATGGCATGCCTACTGTATGCAAATTACTTAAATTTGTAATAATAGAGTAAGATTGCCACTGGGCACAGTGCATGCTCATATAAATTTTATAGATAATATTCTTTCCCTATTATACATATTTTACTATTAAATTGGAAACAAGTACCTAAAATAAATTACAATCTAGAAGTGACATGTAACGCATTACAATTTTGTTCTTTAGCCAGAAGAACCACACCTCTCTTGGAATATATAAAAAACAGGAAACTAGAAAAACAGGTAGGTGATGTCTTACCTGGTGAATATCTATCCTGTGTCCACTGTTTCCATCTACAAAATTTACATATGTGTTTGGTTGTACCCTCAGAGAATTCGAGAAGAAAAGCGTGAAGAGCGGAGGAGGAGGGAGATGGAGAAGAAGCGCTTACGGGAAGAAGAAAAGAGGAAAAGGAGAGAAGAGGAGAGCTGCAAACGGAAAGAGGCCGATAGACAGAAGAGAGCTGAGAAGGAAGTGAAGATTAAGGTAATTTTGAGGAAGCATTTCTTCTTCTCCCCCTGAGTGTCGTCTTATAGTGATGGTGCCATCTGAGTATTCTAATTCTTTAAAATCATAAAGCATTTTCAGTTAACCCAGCCCTTCATCAGTTCTTTATATCCATTCTACAGCAGTGGCCTCAGGCATTCCCCTGAAGCTCGGGCATTCTTATACAACCTGTGTGTACTGAGGTGGGGAAGGTCTGAGGCTCTGGCCTCCTAATGTGGAATGGGTCACAACACCCGAAGTGTCCCTGGCTTAGATTTTCCTGAGTGAAAACACATCCTTGAGAACTACCTATGGGTGGTGCTGCCTAGTGTTGAGCCTCAGATGCGAGTTTGAGTGCTGAGATGCTGAGGCAGGACACAAAGGTTTCAGCCTCATGTCCAGTTTTTCCCTGGATGTCCTATAACTCCCTTTGCAGATCATGCTTGACTGAACTCACAGAGGTCTCCCTGCACCACTACACCCAACTCCTTGATTTATTTTTTTTTTATTTTTAACTATTTTTTTTATTTATTTTATATAACCAAGTCCATTTAAATGAAAACAAACATTTATAGACAATATTTGGGAATTTGGGCTTCGTTCTTTCCAAACTACTTCTGCTGGTAAGGGGCGCTGTCATGGGGGATTCGAAGAAGATTCAGAAATCCTGGCTGTAGTCTGTAAGGCTGCTTTGTCCAGCTGTTTTGAATGTAGGATCACCTGGTACTCTGTTTCAGGTGGTCTGGCTTGATCAAACCACATTAGTCTGGAAGGAATCCACATCTTTTCATTTTCTGTGGAAACAAAAATAGAAATCCTTTTCCCCAGTAACTTATCCTTGAACATAAATTTTGGAGTCACCTTGATTTATTTTTTAAAAGTGGTAATCCCTTCAGAAACTATACCTTCCTTAGTTCCAATTTTACAGTGACTTTTTTGACCAGATTGCAGAATTTTCAAGTCTTTCTATTCTTTTTTTTCCCTATCAATTCCTACTGTAAATATGGTCAGAAGAAGCCAGCAGTAACCATGCCATATACTGAACACTATGCTGTCTTGAAATTTCCTCCATCAGATTACTTAGTTCATTATTTTTTTTTTTAAGATTTGTTTTTTTATTATCTGTGTAGCCTTTTGCCTGCATATATTCCTGCACACCAGAAGGGGGCACCATATCTCATTGTAGATGGTTGTAAACCCCCGTGTGGTTGCTGGGAATTGAACTCAGAACCTTTGGAAAAGCAATCAGTGCTCTTAACCTCTGAGCCATCTCTCTAACACAAGTAGCTTGTGATCCTAGCTTGTGATCTTATTTCCTTTGGAGCTCTTGTGCCTGTCTGTTGGCATTCTAGTTGTCTACACTCCTCCTGGTATTGCCCTTTATGGCTCTTTGTTTTGTTTATTTCTATTTGTTTATATAATTATTGCTTCTTAGTGCTAGGGGCTGAACCCAGGTCCTCTTGCACCCTAGACAGGTGCCTGTCTGAGCTCTGCCCCTGGCCTTATGTTATTTTATTCATTTTTATTTTTTTCTTATTGAGACAGTCTCATGTTGTTAAGGCTGGCCTTGAAATCACTGTATATATGCAAATGACATTAAATTACTTTTCAGATTAATTTATTCATTCATTCATTTAGAGGCAGGGTCTCATGTGTCCCAAGGTGGCCTCAAACTCACTATGTAGCTGAGACTGGACTTAAACTTCTTAACCTCCTGTCTCTGCTCCCCGAGTTCTGGGATTGTGCCACCACACCAAGTTTATACAGTGCCCGGGATCAAACCCAGGTCGTTATACCTGCTAGACAAGCACACTAGCAGTTGAGCTACAAGTCCTTAGCCACTGTTTTTTGTTTGTTTGTTTTGTTTTTTAAGACAGAGTCTCAAGAACTCGTGTTAGGCTTGCCCTCGCTGTATAGCACAGGCTCAGTGCATCTCTGGCAGTCCTCCTGTCTCAACCTTCTGAATGCTGGGTTTGTAGACATTAACCTCCTTGCTTAGCTTCAGAATTGTCCTTTGGGCCAGTGACATTCTATGACTTTTCTAGCCAGTGTCTCCAAACTTTTCCAAACAAGTTCTCGTGAACTGACATGGTCAGGATCAGTCATGGCCATGGTACTCTCCGGTACCATTTTTTCCTTCTTTCTTGTACTTTATGCAGCCATAGCCAGAATACCTGATAGTAACAAATGGAGCCGGGTTTGTTTTGGTACATAGTTTCAAGGATTTCAGTTCATAAGCCCTGGCTCCATTCCTGTGCCTATGGCTTGGCAGGGTGTCAGGGTATGGGTTTGTTTGGTAGAGGCGATTCATGCCATATAGACAGGAATTAGAGGACAAAGGAGGAAGACACTGGGCACAATAGAGCTCCCAAGGACATGACCCATTTCTAAAATAGGACCTCTACCTGGAGGCCAAGCGGAAAATTTAATACTCGCACTAGCAATGAGTGTGAGATTAACTTGTATGGTGACTTTATGTAAGGACACTTTAATGTTGACGCAAGGACATAACAACATAAGGTGTCTCTCAGAATCTGGCTTCATTAGCAGGGTATGTGGGTACTCACATGTAAATCAAACTTGGGTCATTCTATACATTTTGTTTTATGTTGCTCTTTTCTTAAATTGGATGCCATTATTCTAACAGTCCTACATCAATTTTCCTGATTCTAAAGATTTTATTGACAGTATCATATGTATTAAACCCAAAACAGCTGGGTGGGGGTTGTTTTTGTTTTTTTATTTTTTTGACTTACAACAATTCCTTTGCTATTTAAACATTTGATTGGTATATAATTTTAATTATTTAACATTTTCTTTTATAATTCAGCAATGAGTAATATTTTATTAACGTTACAATTTCTCAGCTTCTTAAAAAGCTGGAAACAGAAGAAGCAACCTCAGAGAAATCCAAAGAAAGAGGTGACTCAGTTGGTATTGGAGATGAAAAGCAGCGAGCTTGGCCAGTGGAAGGCCTGCTGGAGATGCCTGCCGAGAGGTGAGCCTGCTCTTGTTTCCATGACTACTTCCTGCCCCCAGTGTGGTGTCATAGCATCTGTGCAATGTGCACTCTGCACATTGCCCTTGGAGTCTGAGAATCCTGCCAGAATATGCTAGCATGTGTGTTTCTGTTTACCATGCCAGGAGTTTAGTAGTTCTTCAAATCAGAGATGGTTCTCATTGTTTCCTTAACCTGTCCTCTCTTCCTTTTCCTCCATTAGACTTCCTTCCTGGACTTACATCTCCAGGGTCTGCCCTCCATGTCTTTCTTTCTGTGTGATTCATACCTACTTAACTGTTTTCCTTTGTGTTTTGAGATTTCCCACCCACGTTTATTTCAGCTCTCCTACAGTTTTATCCGTGGTTAAATTTCAGTTACCTACAACTACAGATTTCAGAGTCCCATCTTTTAGGGCTGGCCAATTTTGGGTTTTATTTTCTTGTTTGCTTAGGTTTTGTTTTTTGTTTTTGTTTTGTGATGGAGCAATAGGCCTCAAGTATTGTAATTCCCCTCCTTGGTTCTGTCTTCTGTTGCTCTTACTTCTTTATCTTTACATGCTCATGGCATGGTTTCATGGGAGGAGCTCAGCCATGAAGCTAGCAGGCATAGCCCCTTGCCCTGAGTATCAAATCTGCCATGCACACCCAGGCTTGTCTGACCTAGGGTTTCTATCACTTGATGGATCATCAACTTTGTAATCTTTACACTTTGGTTTGTGTTGTAGTATTTTAGCGTCATTGTTTATGGTACAGCAGTACCTGTTTTTATTGTCATATAGTCCTCATTTGTTCTCAGGCCTCCCATGTGGATAAGCCACAGAGGGAATATGGCGGTGGCTCGTACCCATGGTTCAAGGAGGCAAAGACTTCAAGAAACCAAAAAACCAAGTAGCCATATACTTACTCACTATTCATTTAACCTTTTTAATTGTTTTTTTGGTTTTTTTGTTTTGTTTTGTTTTGTTTTTTGAGATGGGTTTCTCTCTATTGTTTTGGAGGCTGTCCTAGAACTCACTCTGTAGACCAGTCTGGCCTTGAACTCACAGAAATCTGCCTGCCTCTGCCTCTCCAGTGCTGGGATTAAAGGAGTGCTCATTTAACTTTTTGATACACATAAATTAGTCCACCCAGCATTATTCATCTTCAGTTCATTTGACTGTGCTTAGAGCATCACAGACACGTGTCAGGGGACCTAGCAATATCACTTGTTTCAGCTGTAAAATGGGAATCACATTTACTTTGGGAGAGTTAGAACAACGTATCTACATACCTCAGCATTATGTCATAGTATACCTGTCATTCAGATATAGCGGCAGATATTATTTGTCCATATTTGGTTAGATGCTTGCTATGAGCCCATTGCTGCTAAACTCAGCACTGTAGCAACAATGGGCTCAATTCCCACACACCCCATTCAGAGTCTAGAAAGGAGACAATCAGCCACCTGCCTTCAGTTAGTTATTGACCCTTTGTATTGACTCACAGGTTACAGGATGGCAGTGATAAAGAGCAAAGGGACAAAAGATTTCGAGAGAAAGAACCTGAGACTCCAAGATGTCACCCAGATGGTTGCAGGAAGCACAGCATTCACTCTGAGTTTGCCAGGTTTTCCAGAAGGAATGAAGACGAACCCAAGTGGGGGAAAGGCTTCACCCAGGGTACAGGGAAAAAAGGGAGCCAGGATGGGAGTGTCCCTATGGACAAGGCAGAAAGAAGGAGCAAGGAGCAGAAGGAGTATGACAGCCTGGGACTGAGAAAGGAACGCCCAGGAAACAAGGTTCTGTAGTCCACTGGGCCCGCCTTCCCTGTGCCAGAAATATACAGTGTGCCTCTGCAGACTCATAATTTTTCTCCCCAGATAGAAAGTAGACAAGAAAACTCTGCCTAGGTTCAGGGTCACACTCTGTCTGTGTCAGCTCAAACACCCATGTGGGCCGGCTTTGAAAGTCTCTCATATTCTAGAGCATTCTTGCTCACCTTGGGTACACTGAACTTGGAACTAAATTCAGAATAAAACACTATCATCTTTTTAAAGAATCAAGTTTTTATTTACCAGGAAAAAGTGTTTTGCAAAAATCATTTACTTGAGATGAATATTGTAAAATGTAGCCTTAGAGTCATAAGGGAAACAGCATCTCTTGGGTGTCATTGACTAATCAATAGTCTCATACATAGCTCATGGGACAGTTCTGCCTGAGTGTGAGTATAGCAGTGAGATTCCCTTGAGTCCAGTGATGGGATGTTTTTTCAGAAGTGTGAAGTTCACTTCTGTTTGGTCACATTTTCCCAGAGACCTACTTAGGGTGTTACTCCCACTGGTCCATGTTTAGGCTGCTCATCATTGGAAAGCCAGTGTTTGGGAGTGAGAGCTGAGGGAAAAGGAATGAGGTTAACAGAGGACTGCCACTCCTCTTTCACTTTATGCTTTACAAATTACATGGGGATTTTTTTTTTAAATGTTTTAGACAGGATCTCATTGTACATTCCTGGCTGGCCTTGAACTCATCTCCTGAGTACTGATAGTAAAAGCATGAACCACTGTGCCCAGCCCAGCCCCCTTTTTAAACCTTTAGTAAAAACTACAATATTGTATTCTGTCTACTTATACTAGTGTTTCTTCTCAAGATAACCAGTTCTTTTGGTCATAGGTTAACAACAGCAACAAAAATACCGACATTATATGAAGTTATGATTTATTATCTTGTTTGTTTGTATATGTTTGTTTATTTTGTTTTTTTTCTTTTGAGACAGGGTCTCTTCATGTAGCTCTGGCTATTCTGGAATTTACTATGTAAACCACGATGGCCTTGAATTCCCACAGATCTACCTGCCTCTGCTTTCTTAGGACTAGTATTAAAGGCATGCACCACCATTCCTGGCGTTTTGTTTTTAAATGTATTTTTAATGCTGGATATTGAACCTACAGTCATTATACTGTTAAAACCATATGTCACCATTGAGCTATATATCTCTGCCCAGAGTTAAGGTTTTTTACATCATTTCCTTCCTCTTTAATACTTATTCTGTATGATAATTTAGCAAGGGAAAAAGTATTTTAAGGGCTTACCTTTTGGAATTTCTTGCAGGTTTTGACAGCTGTCTAAATATCGCCAAAACAAAGAAGAGAGACTCTCCGTGTGATTATGTGGCTAACCAGGCATTTGAACCAACAAGACCAATTTTCCCTGTCACAAGTTCAAAGAATAATCCAAATATTTTTTTTTAATCTAATGCTTTGTATATTTTCAAGTATCAGAGACAGACAGACACTAGATTATGACAAGCCAACACTCCCTCCTGCTCTTTAAAAAAAGTAACAGCTCAAAACTCTGGATTTTAAAAAGCTGTATACCTGTGCCTGTTCACAAAGCTATTCTTATCCTTAATGTAAAGCTATGTTCTCCCAGAGACAACTTTGGCTGTGTGAATGAAGTGATGGTGTCTGGGGCTATGATGCTCCACTGTCCCTGACAGAGGGTCTCTGAAAACATCGCTGTTCCCCTAAAGTGCATTATCACTGGGTGTCCCCTATGCACTGAGCACACCATCCCTTATGTCACACACAGGACCACACCTTTCAAATAAAAGGGACAGGAGGGCTGAGGAGGTGACTCTGGGTAACTGGTGTGTGTTCTGATTCCTAGCATCCATGTAAAAGCTAGATGGGCATCATGGCCTGAACTATATGACCAGTGGCAAGAGTATGTGTGGGGGTGGGGGTGGGGTAGGGACCCTTCAGAGCAAACCAGCCAGTCAGATTAGCCAAATCACCAAAACCAAACAAAAAAACCTGCAACAGCTAAAAGGTCAGGGTATCTGTGCTCTTTCTTCTAAATTAGGGCTCCTTAACTGAAAAGCCACATTGCGGGTGGTGGCACTCTAATGACTACCCGATGCCCTTCAAGTTAGTATTCACAGGGTGTCAGTACACTGTTGAATAGTTGGGGAATAGCATAAGGACTCAAGTTCAATCTTTAGAACGCATATTTTTAAAAAACAGCTGGCACAGTGGTACACATTTGAATCTCATTACTGGGGAGGTGCTGTGAGGAAGAACCCTGGGGTTTGAGCAGTCTAGCCTGTGAGAGACCCTGTCTCCAAAACTAGGTAGATGGTGCCTGAAAAATGGTTACCAAGGTCCATCACATGCATATACACAAAAGCATGCTGTGGGAAGCCACAGCCCCAAGGATGCCAGGTAGTCCCAGCTTAGCTGTAAACAAGCCTTATTTGGAAGTGCTTGATGGATCTGGTGTGCTTCCTCCTTCTGTGGCCTATCCGGGATCGCCGGGTGGCATGAGCTGATTGGGCAGTGAGAGCATATTTAAGGGCTTGCTGGGGCTGGGAGAAGAAGATTGTTCAAGATTCCTGAATAAACTGCTTAAAAAGAGTCCAAGCTTTGAGTCTTCCTTGCTGGTCGAGGCGGTAGCGACAAGTGGTGGCCGGTACGGGAACCCTCTCATTGGAAGACTCAGAACTTTCTGCAGTCAGGACAGTGCACTGGTAAGTTCCCAGGTAAGGTGGGTATTTTGCTCCTCTCTGTAGGCAAAGAGGGAGCGGGAACAGAAAGTAAAAGCTTAAAAGGAAACTTTGCAAGTTTAGCCATGGGCGCTTCTCAATCGCACCCAATTTTTTTTGGCTCTGAATGAGCTGCTTCATTCTAAGAATTTAAAGATTAAGAAGAGACTCTAGAGAGATTCCTCAGGGAGGTTGAGACGGTTGCTCCCTAGCACGCTGTTTCTGGTAATTTAACCATCAGTTTCTGGGACAAGCTTGGGAAACACCTAGACTTTGCCTGGGAACAGGGAACGTTGAGACCAGGGACAAGACCAATATGGAGGCTTGTTCACAGCTGCTTAGAGGATCTAAGGTGCTGCAGGGCTGTGGAAAAGGGGCAAGAAGTGTTAGAACAGTTGAAAGAAGAACGTTCCATGAAGTCAGAAAAGGAAAGCTCCGGGGAAAGTCTAGAGGAAAATAGCTCAGAGGAGGAACTAGAACCACCCCCTCCTCCATACAATGTAACTTCTTTGTTAGATGACCCTGGAGGGCGGTCTTTCTGCCCTGAGGTCTGGAAGGAGGTTAAACATGAATTTTGTTCCAAGCCTTGGGTTTTTCCTAGGGGCCATTGAGGACATTATTCCCATTACCTGGAATACAGAGGAGCCAGTCTGGGTACCTCAATGGCCTCTCTCCTCTGAAAAGCTTGCTGCAGCTAAATCTTTAGTTCAAGAACAATTAAAATTAGGACATATTCAGCCTTCCATTTCACCCTAGAATGCACCCATTTTTGTGATAAAGAAAAAGTCAGGGAAATGGAGGTTGTTGCATGATTTAAGAGCCATAAACAAGCAAATGCAAATTATGGGGCCTGTGCAGCGTGGCTTACCTTTACTGTCAGCTTTACCCAAGGATTGGTCCCTTATAGTGGTGGACATTAAGGATCATTTCTTTTCCATCCCATTGTGTGCTAAAGATAGTGTTAGATTTGCTTTTACCTTGCCTTCTGTTAACCATGAAGAACCTGATCTGCATTATGAATGGGTAGTGCTGCCCCAGGGCATGGCTAATAGCCCCACTATGTGTCCGCTTTTTGTGAGTCGTGCCATTGTTCCAATTAGAGAAAGATATCCTGAGGTACGATGTATTCATTATATGGATGGTATTTTAATGGCCAGTAAAGACTTGAAATTACTATACAAGGCATATGGAGAGTTGGTAAAGATCTTAGAGAACAAGGGACTATATATAGCCCCAGAAAAGGTACAACAGGGCAATATTATTGATTACTTGGGAGCCAAGATATATAAGGACGGCGTAGTACCTCAGAAAATTACTTTAAGATTAGATATCTTGCAAACCTTAAACGATTTTCAAAAATTATTAGGAAATATAAATAGGATTGGACCATTTTTGAAGCTTTCCAATCAAGAATTGAGACCCTTATATGATATATTAATTGGCAACCCTGATTTAACTGATTTAACTCCTCGGGTGTTAACTGAGAAGGCCCAAGTGGCATTGCAAAAGGTGGAACAAGGGCTGAGCACGGTGTCTTTAATGCGGTGCATTCCTGATCAACCCATTTGGCTTTGTATCCTGGCAACTGAGTGTCAACCCACAGGAGTACTGTGGCTGGAGGCACCGTTACAGTGGATCATTCCCAAAAGCTCAGTGACTAAGTCTGTAGAGCATTATCCGACCAGCGTTGCTAGTCTAGCTCTGATGGGGATCCAGCAATGTTTGCAATTTTTTGGATGTCAGCCTGAAATGCTTATTACCCCATATTCTGCTGCCCAAATAAAAGTTTTAATTGCCTCATTAGATGAATGGGCTATTTTAAAATGTAGTTTTGATGGAGATATAGATAACCACTATCCCAAGCATCCCATTTTGAGCTTTTTTAAGGAATATCCTGTTATTTTCCCAAAAGTTACCGGTAAAGTACCCATTGTGGATGCAGTAACCATTTTTACGGCTGGGTGCGGCACGTATGTAATTGGAGAAGCTGCCCCAATTATTTGTCAGTTTATGCCTTCAATTTAATTTCTGATTCCAATTATGTTGTTAATTTGGTTAAAGATTTGGAAGTAGCTGGAAAAATAAAAACTAACAACCCTATTCAGCCACATGTAACCCAGCTATAAGAGCTTATTTGGAAACGTTCACAACCCTTTTATATCCAACACATTAGAGCGCATACTGGATTGCCTGGACCAATTAGTGAGAAAAATGAATTAGTGGATAAATGTACCCGGATACATTTTATATTTGCCTCTCTCCCAATTGATAGAGCGCAGCAATTTCATTCTCAATTTCATGTTAATTCGAAGACCCTGCAGCATCGCTTCAGGATATCCAGCGCAGCCGCTCACAATATAGTTAAGGCTTGTAAAAATTGTGTAGTGTATTTACATCTGCCTACTTGGGGGGGGTTAATCCCAAAGGATTGGCCTCTCTTAGAATATGGCAGATGGATGTTACTCATATTGCTGAATTTGGCACATTAAGGTATGTGCATGTCTCTGTGGATACATGCTCAGGAGTGATACATGCTACTCCTTTAAATGGAAAAAAGGCACAAAATGTAATTACCCACTACTTAGAAGCTTGGGCTGCGTGGGGTATGCCGCAGCAATTAAAGACTGATAATGGACCAGTGTATACTGCTGCATCTTTCTCTGCATTTTGCAAGCAAATACAGTTAGATTTGAGACATGGTCTTCCCTACAACCCACAAGGTCAAGGCATTGTTGAACGAGCTCACTGAACTTTGAAGGAATGCTTAATAAAACAAAAAGGGGAATAGGCCAAGGCCACACCCCCAAAGAGAGAATATCTCTAGCTCTACTGACTCTTAATTTTTTTCAATTGGATGTGGGTGGGCGCTCAGTTGCTGATCGCCATCACAGTGTCCTCCCCATTGATAAGGGATTTGTAAAATGGAAAGATGTCATTTCTGGACTATGGGAGGGTCCTGACCCTCTGTTGTCATGGGCGAGAGGGTCTGTTTGTGTTTACCCACAGGATCAGTTAGAACCTTTGTGGATTCCTGAAAGACTAACCAGAAGAGTTCCTGCCTCTGAAGATGGTGAGGTTCACAAGCAGATTGATGTACCTGATGCTGACGATCATGATGATGGTCCTGGTCAATGAGATGGAAGCGGATCCACAATGGGGGATCCTGTCGGTGTTTCCTAATCCCATGCCAATTAGGCATTCTGCCCAAGTTTTCCCCAGATTTCTTTTAGTAGCAACTTAAGTTTAAATTTACCTTTTTTGCCTTTAGATAAGGATATTAGTCCTGTAGAGGGAAAGTTGGTTTTGCCCTGGGAGGGATGCTTATCCTAGTCAGTCTCATTGCTTTATGGAGTATGTGCAAGATAAGGGTTACACAGCAGAGAAGTAATGCCATGATTGCACAAGCCTTCTCAGCCCTGGAGGCAGGGCAATCACCTCAGGCTTGGTTAACTGTGCTTAAAAGCTAAGCAGTCATCATGTTCAGGATGCAAGACGTAGTACTGCACTTGAGGCCAGCTATTAGCTGCTTCATGGAGGGCAAGTCTGATTGCATATGGGTTGGAGGGCAAGTCTGATTGCATATGGGTTGGTATCATAACCCCATCTCTGAGAAAAGATACCGGACGGGTGTGGCACCAGCTTGGCTGATAACTGGGCGCCGGGCCATTACAATGTCCCTTGTTCATCAGAGATCAGACCTCTACCCTTGCCTGTTGCATTTTAAACAAAAAAGGGGAACTGTAGGAAGCCACAGCCCCAAGGTGGTACCTGGCTGGATGCCAGGTAGATCCAGCTTAGCTGTAAACAAGCCAGCCCCAATATGGAGCCTGGCTGGATGCCAGGTAGTCCGAGCTTAGCTGTAAACAAGCCTTATTTGGAAGTGCTTGATGGATCTGGTATGCTTCCTCCTTCTGTGGCCTATCCGGGATCGCCAGGTGGCATGAGCTGATTGGGCAGTGAGAGCATATTTAAGGGCTTGCTGGGGCTGGGAGAAGATTGTTCAAGGTTCCTGAATAAACTGCTTAAAGAAGAGTCCAAGCTTTGAGTCTTCCTTGCTGGTCGAGGTGGTCGCCACAGCATGCCATACATTTTA